AATAATAATAATAATCCTTGCATTTGATGTAGCACTTTTCACGTCTTCGAGATATCTCAAAGAGCTTCACAGAGTATACTGTAAAGTGAATTGACTGTATATTTTGTGGGTGAAACGTGGCAGCCAATTGCACACAGCACCGTCCCACAAACAGTAGTGGATTGAGTAACCAATTTACTATTTTTTTGGAGGGATTATTACTCCCGGAAAAGCGATCCGCCAATAGACTAACAACCTGGTTCCTACTTACTGTTAGGCAAACAGGCATGTGGAGTAAGGAAACTTGTCCAACATTTCATCCTGCCTGGGAATCGAACCCGGGTCCTCTCGCTTGCGAGGCGAGTGCTCTAATCACTAAGCTACAGGACTCCAGAACAGGCAGCACCAGCAACACTCCCTCAGTGTAGATAAAGAGCTAGATGATAGGGAGGGAACAAATAACCTTTTAACCCAGAGGTGAGAGTACTCTTAAGATGACTCGTTGCTGTAATTATGGGTTAGCCCAGTTGGCTAAGACACTCACTTTGGGACTACAAATCAGTGGCCATGAGGGTGAATGAATGACTTAACATACCCAGGACACTGGGAGAAATTCACTCCTATTTTCGAATGGGATCTTTAATGACAACCTGAACGGACAAGCTTTTGGACACTGCTGTGCGCAATTAGCTGCCATGTTACGTCCACAAAACACACCGTCACTACTCTTTACAGTAAATCCTGTGAAGCACTTTGAGACGCTTCTCACCTCTCTCCCCTCCCTCCCAGCACTGCCTTGGAGCATTAGCCTAGATGATAAGCTCAAAGTCCCCAACATACAACTTGAACACATAACCTTCTGACCCAAGAATGCTACCAACTGAGCCAGTCTGACACCTTGTGAAGGCTAGACATCTCTTTAACCCCGCAAGCCAAATACCTAGATGAGCAGGTTCTGTAACTCATTCATTTCATTCACTGCAGTGACTGACTATTTCCCTTGATTAAAGGCTGCTAGATATTTGCTGATGAACATTGACTTTGATTTGCTACTCTGAAGCACTTTTGATCCCTTGCATTATTTAAGAACAATTGCTGCCCAGGAATCTGTCCCACTTTTCTCCCAGCGCTCCAGATTCCTATTAAAAGAAATCATTAACAAAATGCACGCACGCTCACAAAACCGGCCAGATCGATGTATTAAAAGCAGACTGCTTCAGGGATGGAGCAATGTTGCAAATGTAATTTTGCTGGCACCTTTGACATGCTGACTTGCAAGCAATATATTAGCAAGCATAGTTACTGCCATTGAAAATTAATTCTTTGCGTTTTTTAAGAGAGTTAAATTAAACTCCGCAGTGCAGTGGGTGGGAGGCTGAGGATATTATAGAATTATTTGCACCAGGCTTCCTCCATTCAGGCATCAGTGTCCACAAAGCAAACAGTGACTACACTTCACAGTACATTCTGTGAAGCGCTTTGAGACATCTCGACGATGTGAAAAGGCGCTAATCAGTACAATACAAAATTGCATTTGTATAGCACCTTTCATGTCAAGAGGATGTCATAAGGCGCTGGACAATTGGGGGTTTGGACCTGAATGGGTGGGGGATGGTTGGGATAAGCAAGGGTGGGGGTAGGAGGATAGCCGAAAGCATGGACGAAGAGGGGGGTCCTGAGACATGCCTTGAAGGAGGCAAGGGAGGGAGCGAGGCAAAGGGAACGTGGGATGGAGTTCCAAAAGGTGGGGTCAAAGAGGCTGAAGGCCCACAAGGATTATTATTATAGATTGGATACAGCGCCGTTCTCGCTAGGAGGATGTCTCAAAGCGCTTCACAAGATTTCTGTAAAGTGTAGTGACTGTGTGGTAGGCAAACGCTGCATCCAATTTGCACACAGTGATAAGCTGGGCATGCTGCCATTATACTAGTTTTGGCGCTTGTAAGATTAATCACTTACAGCAATTAACTGTGAAGCACTTTTGAGATATTTCATTGATATTAGAAGCTTTATCAAATGCAAGGATTATTATTATCCTTAATAATGCTTTCCCCCTTTACCCAATTCCATTTTAAATATGTTATTCTTAAAACAAAAATCTGCATCTTTTTAATAAAAAAAACCTGGACACTTTTGATAATTCCTCAATGTAAATACAGTTGTTTCTGCCTCGCCAAACAATGGAAATAATTGGTCTCTCTCTTTATCCTGTTTAAACCTTGTCTGACGTTGAAAACGCTATTAGATTCCACCCCCTCCCCTTAACATTCTGCTGGAACACCTGCACAAATGCTCTTTTTTAAAACACGTTATTAATATATAATCACGCTGTCAAAATAGCCCTCTCTCCAGGTCCTACACTAGTCGAGATATAGAGTGTGTTCCTATTTAATTGAATGAATTTTTCATGGTGCGTTTTTCAAACGATGGGAAAGGGGAAGCAAGCCATCTGTCAGACATTCCTGGTGTTAGAAATCTTGATCTCAATCTCCCAAGCTGGGGTGTTTGAAATTTGGGGGTAACATTTGTTGTAATTTGCAAATTTGCACCTAAAGAAAAAGAAAACACGCAAAAGGTAGGAAGTGTCATTCACTTTCGAGTGTAATGACTGTGCATTTGTAGGCAAATACAGGGTCATCAAAAGGTCTTATTTTTCAGCTATCCTATTATCTAAAAAAAAATTCTTTAAGGCTTATTAACATAACATAACATGTAGGAGCAGGAGTAGGCCATTCTGCCCTTCGAGCCTGCCCCGCCATTCAATCATGGCTGATCTTCTAATCTAACTCCAGCTAATAACCTGACCCTGCCTTATCCCCATATCTCTTCATCCCCTTTGCAATAAGAAATCTATCTCAGTCTTGAATATGTTCAAGGACTGAGCGCCAACAGCCTTTTAGGGTAGTGAGTTCCATACATTCACCACCCTTTGAGTGAAGAAGTTTTTCCTCAACTCAGTGCGAAAGGGCTGCCTCTGATTTTAAGGTTGTGACTCCTGGTTTTACTTTCTCCAACCAGGGGAAGCAATCTCCCACTATCTACTCTATCATGCTCTTTGATGATCTTATAGGTTTCTATAATTGGTCAACCTATCCTCGTAACTCATCCCCTTCATCCCTGGTACTAACCTAGTAAATCTACGCTGCACTCCCTCCAACCCAAGTACATCCTTCCTTAAATAAGGAGACCAAAACTCCACACCGTATTCCATGTGTGGTCTCACCAGGGCCCTATACAGTTGCAGCAAGACTCCCCTACTCTTATACTCTAATCTTTTCATAATGAATGCTAACATACTGTTCGCCTTCCTAATTGCTGCTGCACCTGTAGACTAACTTTCTGTGATTGGTGAACAAGGACACCCAAGTCCTACTGGACGCTAACACATTCCAATCTCTCCCCTTCTAAAAAATAATCCGCTCTACTGTTTTTGATACCAAGGTGGATGACTTTGCACTTCCCTACTTCATCTGCCACCTACCTGCCCAATCACCTAACCTGACTATGTCTCGCTGCATTTTTTTTATGTCTAATTAGACATTGTAATGGTTTCATGAATTTTTGGTCACCCTGTACAAACCTACAAATGGGTGGCTGCATTTGCCTACTGATGTACAGTCACTACACTTTGGAATAAAATTCCTGTGATGAACCTTGAGGCCTTCTCCCGACATGAATAAGTTTTGAATCGAATGCAAGGATTATTATTATTATTATTGTTGTAATTGTCATATAACCCCACCCCGCGCCCACACACTTTGTTAATATTTCCCCTCCCCTCTCTTTGTGTCGGTTCCCACTAACAGTGCTGTCATACAGTGTTAATTTGCGGTTTCTAGCCACATTGTGTTGGCGCCGGCTTCATTATAAAGGTGGTTTGCGACTGGTTATAAATGCCTCCAGGGAACTATTGAGCTACTGTCTATCTATCTGAAGTGCAATATCGTGAAGACTGAAGATCCTGTGTCTCACTGTTTATTGTTCTTGCAATTTCAAAGAGTTTTGATTTTTTTTCGAAATGGGTTTTTCCTTTCGAAGGTTCATGTTACCATCCATCTGTTCCTGTTGTGAAAAATGAACCGTCCTGTTTTTTGCCTGGGAATGAGAAATGCACAGACTGTACTAATCACTCGAAGCTCTATAGATGAGACATCAAACCAAGGTCTCTGTCTCTTCGGGTGATCCCTGGACACGATTGTAAAAGAGAAGGGAATTTCTCCTGGTATCCTGGCTAACAGTCCCCCAGATAAAATTGATCACTCAATAAAAGGTGCCCAAAAAGAAATATTAGACCCTTACATAACTAATAAGTCTTAAAGAAATGATGATTTTTTTTGGTTTAGATAATAGGGTAGTTACCACGACTTTTTGGGTCCCTGTATTTCAGAAATTCTGGATTCTAAACTCTAAACAATATAACAACTCTGAATTAGCAGGAACCATGAAACAATACTGTGTGGCTTGGGATGACAGTATTTTTAAAGTGTTGAAACAATGTTCTATTTTATTTACAAACCATTCCGTTTTTATTTTCAGACATTGATCTGGCTCTCTGTAGAGTTAAGAGTGTTGTATTGGATTCGCTAGGTGTGACCGTGTGTATTTTGTGGGTGAAATAAGTTCTACCATTGGCGGTCAGGCAGGCCTTCAGCCTTTCTGTCCTCACCCTCTGGAACTCCAATCCCACAGTCCCTCTGCCTCGCCCACTCCCTTTTTTCCTTCAAGACCTGCCTCAAGAACCTCATCTTCGACAGTGCCTTAGGTCATCCTCTTACCCCTAGCCTCCCCGCCTTCCACCCCTCCAATCCCAACCACCAGTTCGGGTGCGGATCCCTGACTCTCCAGTGCTTTGGGACGTCCTCCTGATGTGAAAAGCGCTGTACAAATGTCATTTGTTGTTGTTGTTTAGTGCTAGGGAACAGTGTGAGTTAGATAGACCCAGCGGTGGGTGTATTGAGTGCTGACCTATTTGACTGTCTGCTCTAAAATTGTGGGCCATTTCTATCTTCTTTCTCTTTCAGGTTGCTAGTCGGGGCTCCCAAAGCAGAAGGCCTTCCAGACCAGCTTGCAAATCGCACGGGAGCCTTGTTCTACTGTCCCATTACATCAAGAGAGGACGACTGTGTGCGTGCAGACTTCGAGACACCTAGTAAGACATGACTGCGGTTGTTACTGTCTCATCATTATGAGATCACATGTAGGTTTGGATGGATAAGAAACCGTTTTGTCCTGTGCGATAGACACACTGCACTAAGTCGGTAGAACACTGGTTTAGTGTTACAAAGAACAATTTGAGGATAGATAGACACCAGGAAGGATTTTCTAGGGTAACCAACAACTAGGAGAGGTGGCTGAGGCCAGGACTCATTTAAGAAACTGCTTGATAATGTGATGGGAGGACTGTAAGAGTAGATGTTCTGGGAGAATGAGATCAAATGGGCCGAAGGGCCTTCTTCACCCGAACCAAACTTGTGATCTCAGTGAGATATCAATCTATTTTTATTATATTTATATTTCAATTTAAAGGTAGACAGTGATATGATCCGAATGAATCGTTGTGAATGAATCCCCGAAACTCTTCCTCTATCCCTTCCACCTTGCCCCTTCCTTCCCTATATTCAGGTCACGCTTGAAGGCTATGCCTATGGTCACCTCCCCCTACCGATTTGGTGTGTCGTGCTCTGCCACTGTCAAGCGCTATGGGACGATACACTGCATGAGGGGCACTATATAAATGCAAGCTGTTTTTTAGCTGTGGTAACTTGAGTGCTTTTCTGCAGCTGACTTACAAAAGGAGAGCAAAGAGGATCAATGGCTCGGAGTCACCGTAGCAAGCCAGGGCCCTGGGGGTAAAGTGCTGGTGAGTTTTGTACAATATGGATACAATAAACAATATACATTAAGGGCATGGTAACTGTGTGGGGATGGGTGTGATAGGGCAAGATAGCTGCTCAGTGCTTCTGCATTCGCCCCACACACAGCAGCCCAACTTGTTTCAAAGCGCCGGATGGCATCTTTCACACTAAAAGATGGCCAACTTCAAGTTCCTATGTTTAATGGATTTCTGCGGCGCTGTCCGTGAAGCCTTGACCTAGACCGTGAGCTCAAAGTCCTATCCTGGGCCTTGAGCTCATAACCTTATGACCCAGAGACAAGAATGCAACTGACTGACTGAGCAAGACTGCTTAACTATTCATTTATTTCTCTTCCCTCCTCTCTCATCTCCTCTCCTCTCTCCTCTTCTCTCCCCTCCCCTCCTCTTCTTTCTTCTCCCCTCCTCTCGCCTTCTCTCCTCTCCTCTCCCTTCCTCTTCTGCTCTATTCCTCTCCCCTCCTCTGCCTCTCCTGTGCCCTCCTCTGCTCTCCCCTCCCCTTCTCTCCTTTCCCTCTCCACTCCTTTTCTCTCCTCTCTCCTTCTTTCCTCTGCCTTCCCCTTCTCCCCCCTCCACCCCACTTCCCCTTTTCTCATCTCCTCTCCCCTCCTCCATTCATCTTCTCACCCCTACTGTCTCTCCTTCTCTCCTCCTCCCTCCTTCTCTCCCCTCCTCTCCCTCTCCCCTCCTCTCTTCTCCTCTCCACTCTTCTCCCTCTGCTACCCCCATAGGTATGTGCACACCGGTACGAGAAGAGACAGAAGAACCTTCGGGGTGAGAAGAGGAACTTGCTTGGTCGATGCTTCGTGATGAGTGATGACATTGCTATTGACCAGAATGATTACTGGGACACCACCCCAGCCCACTTCTGTGAGAACGTTGGTTCCGACCACCAGGGCCTCCTCATGTGTCAGCAGGGCATGGCAGGAGGCTTCACACATCCCAATCATTACGCGTATTACGGGGCTCCAGGAGGGTGGAACTGGCAAGGTCTGTATTCAAGGTCCATCTAGTTTCGCCCTCCGCTTTCCTGGAGTTCACATGCACAAATGTCCCGAACTGCCTAAATACTGCATCCCATAATGTATTTCCTAAAAGAAAACTTATCTAGTATAACTATCAAACATATTATAATAAATGATAATGATACTTGCATTTGATATAGCACCTTGACAAGTTTTCAAGACGTCTCAAAGCACTTCACAGAATAAATTTTAAAGTGGCTTGACGGTATATTTTCCGGACAAAACACGGCAGCCAATGGCGCACACAGCAGCGTCCCACAAACTGTCGTGGATCGAGCTGCCAAATTATTATTGCTAGTAAAATAAAATGAAAAATCGTTTTTTTTTATGTGCTAAGGATTCCCAGCATTGCTATTTTTATTCATGATTGTACATTTCTTCCTCTCCCTCCAAACCTCGCATTAAGTTCCCAAGAATCCCTCAACTCTTAATTTTTTTTAAGTACAGGGAGAGGGATTCACTCACGTTTCTCTCCACTGTTGTTTGAATAGGAGCAGTCTACGTTGAACAGAAGAACAGTACCTTTTTCGATCTCAATATACTGAGTGACGGACCGTTCAGGCTTCCGGACCTGAAAAAGGGAAACAGCTACATTGGTATAGTAAAAGAATAATACTCCTTGGATTTGAATCAACACGTTTCATGTCAGGAAGACATCTCAAAGCGCTCCTCAGAATTGAATGTCACGTGTGGTGACTGTATTTCTGTAGACGAATGCCCCCAGAGTGTTCACAAAGTCCTATTACCCTGTTACAAAACAGTGATATGAGACTAGGGAGGAGATGTATGTTGCCTCCTCTCTCCATCCATGTTATGGAAGGTATCGCACAACAATGTCCCACAAACGGTAGTGGATTGAGTGACCAAATTATTATTAATATTTTTGGGAGGGATTATTACTCCTGGAAAGCGATCCGGCAATTGACTAACAACCGGGTTCCTACGTACTGCTAGGTAAACAGAGGCATGTGGCATAGGATATTTGCTTAAGGTTTCATCCCGAACAGCAATCGAACTCGGGTTGTGTGGCTTGCAAGGCGAGCGCACCAACCACTAGGCTACAGGGACTCCAGAAAGGTTATCAGTTATGAATCCCCTGCTTTCTAACCCCTTAGGGTACTCACTCATGGCTGGGCAGCAGATCTTATCCCAGAACAGCTTCAGCTATGTGGCTGGAGGCCCTCGATATGATCATACAGGAGCCGTCTTCCTCTTGGAGCAAAGCAAAGCAGATGATCTGAAAATGGAGAAAGTTATACGGGGCAATCAGACAGGCTCGTACTTCGGCAGTACTGTGGCTGTCGCTGACCTTAACAATGACAAGTGAGTAAACCTCAGCTTTGGGATGACGGTCTTCATAATTGACCTGGTGCCTTTCACGTCAGGAAGACCTCTCAAAGAGCTTATCTGCATTTACCACGAAGCCAGACGATAAGACCGCCACAAGGCATTGGCTCGATTCGGACAATCAATGACTGACACTGGGTTGCCAGGAAGGGTGGTCGAGGCCATGGCACTGGACTCATTTCAAATAATAATAATCCTTGCATTTGAAGCGCCTTTTCACTTCTTCGAGACATCTCAAAGCGTTTCACAGAATAATAATAATAATCCTTGCATTTGATATAGCGCTTTTCACGTCGGGAGGACGTCCCAAAACGCTTCACAGAACACACTGTAAAGTGAATTGACTGTATATTTGTGGGCGAACGCGGCAGCCAATTGTGCACAACAGTGTCCCACAAACTGTCGTGGATTGAGTGGCCAACTAATTTTTTTTATTCGAATGGATTATAACCCCCAGAAACGCGATCCACCAATCAACTAACAACTGGGTTCCTACTTACTACTGGGTAAATAGAGGCGTGTGTGTGGAGTAAGGAAATTTGCCCAAGGTTTTGCCCTGCCCAGGAATCGAACCCAGCTCCTCTTGCTTGCGAGGCGAGCGCTCTAAATACTAAGCTACAAGACTCCACATACCTGCCCTCCCTTTAAAAATCTCTGCTGATGGTTTAATGGTGTGTTTTTTCCTCTCTGCTTTTTCAAACCAGTTGGAAAGATCTCATTGTGGGGGCTCCTCACTACTTTGATCATAAGAAGGAGATCGGTGGTGCTGTGTACATCTACATGAACGAAGTGGGGAAGTTTCCCAATCAGCACAGCCTCATCCTGAACGGCACTTTGGACTCTTTGTTCGGTCATGTCGTCAGCAGCATCGGGGACGTCAATCAGGATGGATTTCAAGGTCGGTCTATAAACAGGAGTCAGAACGGTGGCTTCTTGTCCGTCCACGCTAACCTCCTTTCTCCTCTCCCACCGCCCTCCTCTCACCCTCCGGCATCATCTCCGACACCAAAAAAATTAAAGTGAATAATAATTTGGTCACTTAATCCACAACTGTCTGTGGGGCACTGCTGTGCGCTTCACCCACCAAATATACAGTCAATTCACTTTACAGTATCTTCTGTGAAGTGCTTTGAGATGTCTTGAAGATGTGATAAGGCGTTGTATCAAATGCAAGGATTATTATTATTATTATCTCTGTAAGCGCCCCATCGTTATTCTTAACATGAAGTCAGCTGTTATACAGGGTGACCAAAAAGTTGTGATACCATTACAATATCTAATAAGTCTTAAAGAAAGTCTTAGAGAATTTCCACGGTTGTCAGTGGAGTCCTGTAGCTCAGTGGTTAGAGCACTCGCTTTGCAAGCGAGAGACCTAAGTTCAATTCCAGGCAGGGTGAAACCTTGGGCAAGTTTCCTTACTCCACACAGAGCCTAATAATAATCCCTCCAAAAACAAAAAAAACAATAATAAAATTGGTCATTTTCAATCTACGACTGTTTGTGGGACATTGCTGTGCACAATTGGCTGCCGCGTTCGCTCACAAATATACAGTCAATTCACTTTACAGTATATTCTGTGAAGCGCTTTGGGATGTCTAGAAGACGTGAAGAGCGCTATATCAAATGCAAGGATTATTATTATCACAACTTTTTGTTCACCCTGTAAACGCCAGTTGTTCTGATGACGAGAGTAATCTTTGCATTTGCTATAACGCTCTTGAAACATCTCAAAGAGCTTCACGGGATCTTACTGTAAAGTGTTGGTGACCCTGTATTTTGTGACGGACGCAGTAGCCAATTTGCACACAGCGATGTCCCACAAGATGCCATGAATCATAGAATTGTACAGCACAGAAGGAGGCCATTCGGCCCATCGTGTATGTGCCAACTCTTTTAAAAGAGCTATCCAGATCAATCCCACTCCCCCTGCTCTCTCCATAGCCCTGCAAACTTGTCCTCGCTAAATAATTATCTACTTCTCTCTTAAAAGTTGTTATCGAATCGGCTTCCAGAGAATGACAGACTTTAACTTGGGGGGAGGGGTGGGAATTGTTGGCCAGGATACCAGGAGAGAGAAATTCCCTTCTCTCTTTTCAAGTGATCTGTAAGTTTATTTAAAAAAGAAAGGCAACAAAAGATGGATTTAGTCACAACGTAAAATTCTTAAAATTAAGCCTGCCTCTTCCCCCCCCCCACCACCACCACCACCTACACATGTTAAATAACCTCCCACAAGAAAAACTCAGAAATTCCAATTATTATTCACTTTGTGCATGTTGTACTTGCCTGTTTTATCAGCGCGTGAACAGTTGCACAGTGAGTGAAACTGACTGTGAAATTACGAGTCAGGAATGTGAGGCATCTGAGTGATTGCACAGGGACAAATCGAATAAGCATTCAGGTTAATGATTGCATTGACTGAACATTCAGCTTCCTTTCTCTCTCTCTTTCTCTCGCTCTCTCTCTACCCGCCTGGCTCATTAACCCCCCCCTCCCCCTTCCTCCTTCCCTTCCTGAAGTTTCTTCATATTGTCATACCCACAGTTTAGCAATCAAGTAACAAAAAAAACACTGAATTCATTCCTGCGGACAGAATGTAGTTCCCAGACACATGAGGCCGCAGGGTGCAAACGGTGTTTGTTTGAACCGTGGGGCCAAATTAAGAGCAGTTAAGACTTAGCTGTGGTCTTTGCTGAAAATGTCACGGTGTTGAACAGTTTGGGTTCGGGTTGGGAGAAAGTACAGTTCGAATTTGGCAGCGTTGAAAGAGTGCCTTTCAAACGACTGCCGGTTGAGTGATTCTAAGTGTAAAAGCCTTCACCACTTTTATTAGCAGGTGCTCCTGGTACAGAGGACCTGTTCTGAGAGAAATGCAGAGTGTACACGGGTGTTAGCGACTGAATGACGTCTGGCCATCTGAATGGCTGATTGCGTTGTTCTCTGCCGAGACAGTTCATGACCTTTCACCATGGCTCTGTACAGCTGCGAGACTAGTGGGGAGGAACAGACAGACACGGGGGAGAGGGGGGGAAGGGAGGGGAGGGAAGAGGAGAAGGGCTGACATTTACCCAATCTTTTAAAAATGTGTGTACCATGTTACTCAGTTTTGCTTTTGTTCCCATTTCCTCTGACATTCCTTCCACTGCACTGTGTAGGTTGAATGGGGCCAGGTGTGTGGTGAGGGGTGATGGGGGTGAGATGTCACTATTTAATATCTGTGGCAAAACCGTGTGTACTGTGCATCTCCCTACCTATCCGACCTGCTTAACCACCCCCCACTTTACCACACGCTGCCTCCGCTTGGCTGGCTCCAGCCTCCTGTTTGTCCCTCCGCTCCACCATTGGCGGCCATGCTTTGAGCCACTTCGCCCCAAAACTCTGGAACTCTCTCCCTCAATCCCTCCCCTCTGCCTTGCCCCCTCTCTCCCCACCTTCAAATCCCGCCTAAAGACCTTCCTTTTTGAACGTGCTTAGGGTCACCTTACCCCCTCCCTCCACCCCCCCCCCCCCCCACCCATTAGCTCTGGATCAGACTCGGCCACTGTCAAGCGCTCTGGGACACTACCCCGCGTGAAGGGTGCTGTATGACTGCAAGTTGTTGAGGTTGTGTTACTGGTGACTGTGCTTAGGGAGAGGACAGGTCTGGCTACAAAGGAGATAATGATTGTTGAAACCTCATCATTTTATTTCTCCCCCCCTCCCCCCCACCCTGAAACACATACAGATATTGCTGTCGGCGCTCCGTATGATGGAGACGGCAAAGTTTACATTTACCACGGCGGTGCCCGAGGATTGGAACCCAAACCCAGTCAGGTGCGATGTGCAATTTATAATAATCCTTGCATTTGATACAGCACCTTATCACGTCTTTGAGACGTCTCCAAGCGCTTCACAGGATATACTGTGAATTTACTGTATATTCTGTGGGTGAAATGTGCCAATTGCGAACAGCAGCATCCCACAAACAGTCGTGGATTCCATGACCATTATTTTTTGGAGGGATTATTACTCCCGGAAATGCGATTTGCCAATCGACTAACAACTGGGTTCCTACTTACTGCTTGGTAAACAAAAGCGTGGAGTAAGGAAACGTACCCAACGTTTTGCCCTGCCTGGGAATCAAACCCAGATCTTCTCACTTGCGAGGTGAGTGCTCTAACCACTGAGCTACAGGATTCCAATTGACATTTACACAGCACCTTTTCAAGGACGTCTCAAAAGCAACCCTTATCTCTGCCTTGGCACCAGAGCTGGGGGAGGGGAAAGTTGACCGAAAGCACGGTCAAAAGATTTATACGTCTGGAGCCGGGCCTGATACCCAGCCTGACGGGGAGACTCTCAGTTTAGGTTCAAGAAATCTGTTTCAAGCAGATTTTTAACTCATTAAAAATCTTGGAATAAAGACGGGACTGATTTTACGGGCAAACACTCTCCTATAACTTCCCGTGAGATGTTCGGACCATGTGAGAGGCAGTGTATCAAATGCAAGGATCGTCATTAATATTAATGTTATTGTTATTGAATCTGTGTATAACGAAAGCTGGAGTTCATCTCTGAACTGGAGCTTTGGAGGAATTTGAAGACAGGAGGAGGCCATTCAGCCCATCGAGCCACAGTCTATTGAATTAGGGCAGATCTTTGAATCTCATAAGATCACGTGAAAAACGCTATATCAAATGCGAGGATTATTATTATTACAAAGCGTTACAAAGATGTCTTCTCGATTTGAAAAGGCCCAATATCAACTCAAGAATTCCTATAAAATTATATAATTCAGACAAATCTTTGCTGAATACCCACAGTAACAACAACAACAAATTACCCTGATTTGTATAGCGCCTTTCACGTCAGGAGGACGTCCCAAGGCGCTGGACATCCACACCCAAACTGGTGGTTGGGATCAGGAGGGATGGAAGGCAGGGAAGGGTAGGAGAGTGACCGAAGGTGCGGTTGAAGACGAGGTTCTTGAAACGGGTCTTGAAGGAGGCAAGGGACGGGGCAAGACGGAGGGACTGTGGGGTGGTGGTCCACAGGATACCGTCCTTTGCCCATGTTTTCTCCATTCTCCCTTAATACCTTCATTTCCCGACGTTCTACAAGGAATGTGCCTGAGCTAAGAGAGGCTAGAATGTTGCACCTGGATGTCAACACATGTTGCTGCCTGCTCTCCGCTCAGTGCACACCAGCCTGAGGTGTCTTGATTCATTGAAATATTTGACAATCCAAGGCTGTTGAAATTGCATCCAGTTGTGTCATCTGCTGGTGCCAGAAAGATACTACACGATACGACTTGCCAGTTTATCATGCAGATGACAAGGGATCTTGAAAGATGAGTGATTTAGTTATAAATGGGGGGGTGTTTGTGTCCAGAGGTGAGGGGTGTGTGGGGAAAGGCGTTATAGCACTCACTGTATGATGGACGGTCATGTGAATAGAAACTGAAATGGCCTGCAAGGTAGAAATGAGCAGCGTTGAGTGAATGTTGCCAAAGAAAAGCGCCAACTTCAGCACAAAGTCATGGGCTTTTTCATCCCTCACACTGTAACTATTAGCCCCTGAGAGGTCCGGCAGAAATCCTGTCCCCAATCTGTTTTTTTCCAATCCAATGGGCTTCCCTTGCTCCATGGCCAATGTTTAGAAGCTTTGCTAAAAGATCTGAAGTTCAGGAAAATGTCAGGCCTCCCTCCCCACTTTCAAATCCCGCTGAAAGACCTTCCTTTTTGATCGTGCTTACGGTAACCTCCCCCATCCCTCCCTCTCCCCCTGGCTCGGTGTCAGACTCCGCCACTGTCAAACATTACCCCATTGTGAAGGGCGCTATATAATTGCAAGGTGGAGTCCTGTAGACCAGTGGTTAGAATACTTGCCTCGCAAGCAAGAGACCTGGGTTCGATTCCCGGGCGGGGTGAAATTTCCTTACTCCACACGCCTCTGCTTACTTACAGTAAGTAGGAACCCGGTTGTTAGACGATTGGCACATGGCTTTTCTGGGCGTATTAATTCCTTAAAAAAATAATAATAAATTGCTCACTTCAATCCACAACTGTTTGTGGGATGCTGCTGTGCGCAATTGGCTGCTGCATTTTGCCCACAAAATATACAGTAGATTCTGTGAAGTGATTTGAGAGGTCTAGAAGACGTGATAAGGCGCTATATCAAATGCAAGGATTATTATTATATGTTGTTGTCATCATTCAGTTTCTGGATGTTTGTAGGGATGCTGCAGTATATACATTTGGCTGTTCTGTTCGCCTACGAAACACACATAGTAAATCATATGAAGTGTTTCAGAGGTGAAAGGCACCACACTAAATGCAAGGATTATTATTATTGTTGTTGTTATTCTGTATCTATCTGTCGGGTCCAAATCCTGACTGTCCAGCACCTTGGTACGTCCTCCCAATGTGAAAAGCGCTGTACAAATGTAATTTGTATTGTATTGTTATCTAGATCATTGATGGGAAACATCTGAATGGTGGCATACAGACATTTGGTTACTCTATCAGCGGAAACCTTGATGTGGACAGTAATACCTATCCTGATATTCTTATCGGAACTTTGTCGGACAAGGTCACATTATTGAGGTGGGAACGTTATCTGGGGGTTGGGGGGGAGAATCCGTTAGCAGCTCACCCTTCCAATTCCAATTCTACTCTCCCTAAACTCTGGAACTCCCCCCTCGACCATCCCAGCCCAAAACCACCGATAATAATTTGGTCACTTCAATCCACAATTGTTTGTGGGACAACTCTGTGCGCAATTGGCTGCCATGTTTCACCCACAAAATACACAATCAATTCACCTTACAGTATATCCTCTGAAGCGTTTTGAGACATCTTGAAGATGTGATAAGGTTTATTTTATATCAAATGCAAGGATTATTATTATTTACTTTTATTATTATCTGTCCCTCTCTCTCTCTGTCAATCAGGCTTCTTCGCCCGTGCCTATGATCAGTTTCTATTCTCGTGTACGGGGATAGGGCAGGGCAGTGGGATTGAAAGTACATCTTCTCTGAGAGCCAATGCAGACTTGATGGGTCGAATGGCCTGCTTCTTACTCTGTAAATTTCTGTAAGGGTTTTACACAAAGGGTATTATGTCAATGGATTTTTTTAAGCCTCCCCCACTACCTCCCCCGAAACTCTGGAACTTTCTCCCTCAATTCCTCCGCCTTACCCCCTCCCTCCCGCACTCTCCCCCACCTTCAAATCCCGCCTTTTTTAACCTTCCTTTTTGATTGTGCTTACTGTCACCTCCCACCTTCCCTCTCCCCCTGGCTCGGTACCAGACGCTACCCCACTGCATGTGAAGGGCGCTATATAAATGCAAGTAGTTGTGTTGTATCGGCTGTCATGACGGGATCGCTATCCCTTCCACCTCAATGGCCAATGGAACTAGGTGTCCAGCTGTGCACCGCACGTGTGTGAGAGCATGTCAGACATTTTCTACGCTAATAACGCGGAAACCTTGGTCCGCAGATCCAGGCCTGTAATTAACATCAAAAGAAACTTCACCGTGCATCCGGAAACTATAGACCCCAGCAAATGCACTGAAAAATCCTGGTACGTATCAAAATGGTTATATTTGCACATAGCCCGTTAGCCTTAACCATTCCCATAACAATTAAAATAAAAATAGAAGTCACTGGGAACACTCAGCGAGTCAGGCAGCATCTGTGGAGAGAGGAAAGTGGGTTAACGTTTCAGGTCGATGACATTTCGTCAAAACACTTTTCTCTCCATAGAGGCTGCCTGACCTGCAAAGTGTTCCCATCTGCAGTATTTTGCCTTTTATTCCCTTAACATTTAAGATTGATCAGTGCTTTGGGTGGGGAAAAAAACAATCTTTGTTTGCCTACAAAATACATAGTTACTACACTTTACAATGAAAAATCCTGTGAAGAGTCTTGATGGGACCATGCGCTGTGTCAAATGCAAGGATGATGATTAATCAATCCTACATTTTGAAGCAAAAACAAAGAGAGTTGGGAAAACTCAGCAGGTCAGGCAGCATCTATGGAGAAAGGAAAGTGAGTCAATGTTTCGGGTCCACAAACCTTTGTCAGAACTGGGGCATGTTGGGAGGGAGAGGTTTTTAAGGACTAGTTGAGAGGGGGAGGCAGGAAAAGGATGACAAAGTAGACAAGAAAGAAGACAAAGGAGAGAATGTAGAGAATGTGTTAGTTGATGAGTTAAAGAAGTGATAGTGGCGTAAAACAAAAGGTGGGGTTGTCCAACAAAAGGGAGGGTGGGTTGAAACAAAGCTGGGGAGAAGAGGTGTTAATAGTGCAGAACAGGCAACACACCAGAGAGAGGCAAAGAGTGTCTGGGGTGATGATTGTATTGATAACAGAAGATAACTCTTCTGGCAACAAAAAGGGAGGGAGGGGGGAAGGTGAGGTGTTATGGTCTGAAGTGGCTGAAATCGATATTGAGGTCAGAGGGCTGTAGGGTGACTAATAATAATAATAATAATCCTTGCATTTGATATAGCGCTTTTGACGTCTTCTAGACGTCTCAAAGCACTTCACAGAATATGCTGTAAAGTGAATTGACTGTATATTTGTGGGTGAAAGGCGGCAGCCAATTGCGCACAGCAGCGTCCCACAAACAGTCGTGGATTGAAAATGACCAATTTATTATTATTTTGTTTTTTGGAGGGATTATTATTAGGCGTGGATGGAGAGGTCAGACTGTGAATGGGAGTGTGAGTTAAAATGGCAGGAGACTGGAAGATCAGGGTTGACCTTACATACAGAATAGAGATGTTCTGCAAATCGGTCACCCAATCTGCGCTTAGTCTCCCCAATATAGAGGGGACCACACAGCGAGCAGCAGATACAGTATACTACATTGGTAGTAGTACATGTTATTTTGAAGACTTGTTTCCTGCAGAGATCTGAAATGCCACTTAGTTTTAGCTCGCACAACCATTTTGCGTTAAAGTTTAAGATTCGTTGGAGAATTCTTCAGTTCAGTGTTAAATCAGAAGCAGAGATCTTGTTTTTAAGCCCTAAAAACAGCTTCCAAATTATGGCTGAGTTTGTAAGAATTTGCTTCAGTCAGGCACGATGTTACATTTTGCGGCAAAAATGAACTGAACAGCTAGTTACACATATACACAGGGTCCGCAATTCAATACAAAATTACATTTGTATAGCACCTTGCACGTCGGGAGGACGTCCCAAGGCGCTGGACAGTCAGGAGTCAGGATGCGAGCATGGGGGAGGGGTGGGGTAGGGGTGAGGGGAGGCAGAGAGGTGGGAGGGTGATCAAAGGCACGATCGAAGAGGAAAGTCTTGAGACCGGCCTTGAAAGAGGCAAGGGAGGAAGCAAGGTGAAGTGACTGTGGGATGGAGTTCCAGAGCGTGGGGGCAGAGAGGCTGAAAGCCCGGCCATCACTGGGGTTAAGTGAACTGACTTTATAATTTGTGGATGAAACACAACATGTGGGATGTAGTTCCAATGGCTGGGGGCAAGAGGTGCTGAAGGCAAACAGGTTTAAAACTGAATTGCGCTATCACAAAGCTCACGATAACAAGGCAACACTGTATGTACTTAAATAGGTGTCTGCAGTGGGAGTGTTGGCCCCAGCTACACAGTGCTGCCGATTGTACTGACATTGTTTCAGTGGAGGTTTAATGACAACACTTTGGTTCTAATGCGTCGCGATTAGCATTAGAGATTAGCATCTCGTAAAGTGTCTGTAATGGGATTTGTTCCGTTTTACTGCTGAAATAATTTGATGCTAAAGTGCTGCAGATTGTGTCAGCCATTTCAACAGGGAATTAGATAGTTGTGCAGCAAAGAAATCAATGCAAAAGCAGTTCGGTTTTTTTTATGTTGCTATGTTTCTCTCTTATGTAAAGCAGTTATCATTCTGGCTGTAAACAGCCTGGGACATAAGGTTCTGCAGTTTAGGGGCTAGTTCAGTGTGTGAATGAAACAATAAATAATTTTCTTAAAAAAATAACGATTTGGTCACTTCAATCCACGGCTGTTTGTGGGACACTGCTGTGCGCAATTGGCTGCCGCGTTTCGCCCACAAAATACACAGTCAATTCACTTTACAGTATATTCTGTGAAGCGCTTTGAGACATCTCGAAGACATGATAAGGCACTGTACCAGTCACAAGGATTATTATGTCAGGCTGACTAAATTGGTAACGCTTTCGCCTCTTGAGTCAGAAGACCCTAACGTTGGGATTTTGAGCTCAAATTCTTGGCTGACAATGCAGTGCAGTAATTGAGGATCGCTGCATTGTCAGAGATGCCATCCCTTTGGATGAGACATTAAACCGAAGTCTGGTGGATACTCATGGCGCTATTTCAGAAGAGCTGGGAGTATCTCCCCGTGTCCTGGCCAACAATCCCCCCAGATGAATTGAATGGTCGCTCACTGAATGGCTGTTTGTGGGACTCTTCCCAATTCGCACCCGAACTCATTGGGATTGGGTGAACAGGATGCGTCCATTCGGGGAAACTACACCAGACAGACCAAGATTTCCATACCTGTGTGGAAGACCCATTCAGTGTGTTTAGATACTCTTAACCCTGGTGATGGCTTTCGCTGTGTGTGTCAGACACTCATCTGGTTGCAAGCTGTCTGCCTTGTGTTAAAATAATTAGATATCTTGAGTTTCTGACAACCGGATCGCTTTAAAGACAGATGGGATTTTGTAAATCCTTAACTGCTTGCACAGCGCTCAGCAGAAAGCACATTTCGCTTTGTTTAGAGTTGAATAAAAGGTTTATCTGTTGTTTTCATTCAGTATCACAGTGGAACTGTGTTTCTCATACCTGACAAGCACCAGGAAGTACAACCGCAACATTAGTAAGTATTGATAACAAATAGCCTGCTTCTTTTTTGGCAAAATTTTTTGCAGGTTGCTATTATTTTTATGCCATGTATTGTCTGCCTGGCTCAGTCGGTAGTACTGTTGCATCCGAGTAAAGAGGTTGCAGGTACATCAGAACTTTGAGCTGATAGATTGGACTGGGCTGACACACCATTGCAGTTCAGCTTTGTCAGAGGTGCCATCTTACAGATGAGATGTTAAACCGAGGCCCCGACTGTCTATTCAGCCGGACGTTAAAGATCCCATGGCGCTATTTGAAAAGAGAACAGAGTTTCTCCTTGGCCAGTAATCCCTCCAGATAAAATTGTTCATTTACTTTAAGGCTGTTCTGGGGGATGTTGCTGTGCGCAAGTACATTCCAACACAAAATATACAAGACGGAAGTGGCACTTGACAGAAATTCTCTCTGGAGCACTTTAAGATGTTTCGAACCCAGGAATTGAACAAAGGCTCATTTAATATCATTTTCACCTAATGTAGCTCTTAACTATACGTTGAAGGCTGAGAGAGAGAGACGTTCAGCTCCACGAGTTCAATTTGTCAAGACCATGAAAGACGAATTAGAAGGCTTCTTCTCAATGCCAAAAACCAAATGTCAGAAGATTGAACTAAACCTGATGGTGAGAGGATATTCCTGTGTGTTTTAGCCTCTGGGTTGACCCGGCCAACAATTCCCCAGATAAAACTGGTCCTTCGCTTTGTGGCTGTTTATGGGATGTTGCTGTGCTCAAATCGGCTGCCGCATTCACCTAGTAAAATCCTGTGAAGCGCTTTAAGACTTCTCAACAACATGATAATTCGAGATGAGTTATGTAGCTCAGTGTTTAGAGCACTCACCTCGCACGGGAGAGGATCTGGGTTCAATTCCTGGGCAGGGCGAGTCATTGGGCAAGTTTCCTTACTCCGCATGCCTCTGTTTGCGTAGCAGTAAGATGAAATCGGTTGTTAGTTGATTGGCAGATTGCTTTTCCGGGGGTAATAATTCCTTCAAAAAAAATAATAATAAATTGGTCATTTCAATCCACTGTTTGTGGGACATGGCTGTACGCAATTGGCTGCCGTGTTTCACCCCACAAAATATACAGTCAATTCAATCTACAGTATATTCTGTTAAGCGCTTTGAGATATCTTGAAGATGTGACGAGACTTTATATCAAATGCAAGGATTATTCTGGCAGTTTTACACTTCAGCGCTCTTTCTGTTCCTTCTGCAGAATACCGTTCAGGATAAGTTGCATCCGATCTCAATTACTCTGACTTACGACATTTATAGGCCGGTGTCCCGGGGGCGTCAGTATGTGCGCTCTCTGGACCAATTCCCTGTTTTGAACGTTCAACAGACCCACAATGAGACGAGAGAGGTAAGACAGAGCACAGTGGGGTTTGGGTTTGCCATTCGCTTTGCAGTATTTTCTGTGAAGCGCTTTGAGATGTCTCGAAGACTTGATAAGGTGCTATATATAAGGCTGGATGGTGAGTCTTTGGGGGAATCAGTATCTCCTTAAACATTTTACACTCATTGCAAATGAAAGGGTGAGCAATTAAAACTCATGCTTTTCCGTGGGTAATAATTCTTTCAAAAGAAAATAATAATAAATCAATAAATAATAAATTGGTCACTTCAATCCATGACTGTTTGTGGGACACTGCTGTGTGCGATTGGCTGCTACGTTTCACCCCACAAAATATACAGTCAATTCGCTTTGAGATGTCTCAAAGATGTGATAAGACGCTATCAAATGCAAGGATTATTATCAAATGCAATGCAATATTATTATTATTCATGCAAATTTCTCTATATTGCACCAAAACTGATCATCGTCACATTTCTTCGTTGTTTGATGTTAAAAGCGAGAGCTAAAAACAATAATAGAATTGGTCATTTTCAATCCATGACTGTTTGTGGGACATTGCTGTGCGCAATTGGCTGCCGCGTTCGCCCACAAATATACAGTCAATTCACTTTACAGTATATTCTGTGAAGCGCTTTGGGACGTCCTCCCGACGTGAAAACGCTATATCAAATGCAAGGATTATTATTATTATTGCTATCTATCCTTCACTTTTGCTTCAATAACTACATGCTTTTATATAGTGCCCTTCATGTAGAATAACATCCTGGACAGGGGAGATGAGGAAGGGGGAGGTGATGATGGGCACGGTCGAAGAGTAGGATTTAAGGTGGAATTAAACACTGAGAGAGTGTGTTTGTGTGCGAGGGGGGGAGGAGGGAAGAGAAAGAGAGATCGAGACAGAGAAAGAAGGAATTTCAATATGAGACCTCATTGCAGATCCATTTTGAGAAGGATTGTGGCAGCGACCGAGTTTGCCACAGCAACCTGCAAATGATGTACGAGTTTGGTAATTTCGGGAAAGACGAGAAGTTTGATCCTGTCAACAGGTGAGGGAGCGAGGTGTGAGTATTGAGGCATCATCCTCTCTTTGTGTGAACCTGGATGCTGAGGCTTAATAGGGTTCTTTTCTCTCTTGGGAAGTCTGGCTCAGTTGGTAGCACTCTCACCTCTGAGTCAGAAGGTTGTGGGTTCAAGCCCCACGTCGGGATTTGAACTCACATCATAGAATCATAGAATTTTACAGCACAGAAGGAGGCCATTCGGTCCATCATGCCTCTTTAAAAGAGCTACCAACTAGTCCCGCTCCCCTGCTCTTTTTACCCCATAGCCCTGCAAATTCTTCCCTTTTCAGTACCTATCTAATTCCCTTTTGAAAGCTATTATCGAATCTGCTTCCACCACTATTCCAAACTATCTGGGTGAACATAGTCTAAGCTAATGCTCCACTGCAGTGCTGCGGGGTTATTGTGGGAGGTGCTATACCTCGGATGAAACATTAACCCGAAGTCTTGTGTGCCTGTTCATGTGGACATTAAAGATTTCCATGACACTATTCAAAAAGAGAAGGGAGTTTCTCCCGGTGTCCTGACAACAAGCCCCCAAATAAAATTGGTCACTCACTTCAAGGTTATTTGTGCCACACTGCCGTCCACATGTTGACTGCTACGTTTTCTCCACAAAATACAGAGTCACTCCACTTTACAGTATATCCTGTGAAGCTTTGAGATGTCTCAACGGCATGATAAAGCACCTTATCAAATGCAAGGATTATTATTATTATTATCACCCCCTGCATCCGGATTCAAACAGCCCTGGTGCATCAAAGACCTGCAAAAATTTTCTGTGTCTGGAATGGGATGCGCACTCTCTCTCTTTTCTGCCTCTCTTTGGAAAGAAGCAGCCCCAAGAGCATCAGATGTGGTGTGAGCCGGGGCTTTGCAAGTGGGGATTGAGAATGGATCTTGTGGGCTCTCGAGAGAGACAAGAGATTTTTTGTTCTCAGAAATCTTTGGATGTTTGATTTCCAAACGCGCTCTTTATTCTTCCCAGGCTGCAGAACAAGCAAATCCTGGAGTTCGATGGCAAAACTAAGAGGCTTGCTCTGCAGGTCAATGTCAGCAACTTTCTGAACAACAGTGACACTATCGGCGAGGACGCACACCAGGCCTTCCTCAACATCACGCTGCCTAACACCCTCTCCTACTCTGGAGTCCGGGCCGTGAGTAAACCAGTGCCTCGCCTCAAGATTACTGTCCAGTCATTGCCTCACTGTGTGCAAATTGGCTGCCACATTCACCATCAAGACACACTGCCGCTCCATTATCAACCATTATCAACCCGCACATTTGATATTATCCCTGTAGAACTTCACACATAAAAATAACTTGTATTTATATAGCGCCCTTCACTGTGGTGGAGTCTGACAAGGAGCCAAGGGGAGAGGGCGGTGGGAAGGTGACTGTAAGCACAATCAAAAAGGAAGGTCTTTAAGGTGGGACTTGAAGGTAGGGAGAGAGGGGGCAAGGCGGAGGGATTGAGAGAGATACCCTGGATCTCTGGAACTCTGAAAGCAAGACAGCTTTCTGCACGGATTTTGGATATTTTGTGAAGTAAACTGGGGTGTGTGGAAACCACACTCCGAACAGCACTGTAAGCAAATCCGCGTTATAATGATGTGAGTTATAACTAAGTTCCACTGTTGTCCTTGTGTGGTTTCTTTTCATTTGCTTGTTCTGCAGCCTGAGTTGCACAAGCCACTTGACGTCGGTAGAACTGGATGTCTCGTTACCACATTGGGAAGTGGGAGAGGAAATGCATGGACTCAACACAGTGTGTTATTTCTTTCAGGATTCCGCACGCTGTAACAATAGAGGACAGAATGTGCTCTGCTCTTTGGGAAACCCATTTAAGAAGAACCAAGAGGTAGGTCAGGGGCAGCCTTGCTTTGAAGGAGATTAAGCAGGGACCCCATTTGCAGGTCATCAAGTCATTAGCAACTTCTCGCTTAGTGCAACGCACAGGAAGTGATGGCATCGGTCACCTAATGACCTGGAAGGTGGCCATTTTGTCTTCTTTAGCAAGTCGGAAACCAGCCACAACGATTTGAAAACAAGACAGCTTTCTGCACGAATTTTGGATATTTTGTGAATTAAACACGGTGGGAGGGGGGAACCACACTCCCAACAGCACTATAAGCAAACCCGCATTATAATGAAGCGTGTTATAACTGAGTTCCACTGTCGTCCTCGTGTGGTTTCTTTTCATTTCATGGATGGCCAGGAGGGAGCTGATTTTTTTTACCTGGGTTTCGTGATGTTGTTGTTCACTTGCTCTTTCAGAAAAAGGGTCAAGGATTTCAAAGGTTGAGTCAAGCGAGGCAAGTGTTGTGGTAAATAATGAGGGGTGTGTGTGAGGTGGATGTCAGTTATCGCATCTCTCCTTTTTGTAGATGACCTTGAGTATTCTTGTGCAGACGAAGTTAATAGATCTCCACACGAGAGAGATTAATGTGATGCTCCAACTCACCACGTAAGTCCAAACCGTTTAACAACGGCATGACGCACTTCCAATAAAAATGCCTTCAGTGAGCCATTCACGGCCTTGCTCCCTCCTACCTCTCCGACCTACTATCCCCCTACCTACCTGCCCGTACCCTCCGTTCCTCTGGCTCCAGTCTGCTCCACATCCCCTGCCCCAACCGCCCTACCATCGGTGGCTGGGCCTTCAGCCTCTCAGCCCCGAGGCTCTGGAACTCTATCCCCCAGTGCCTTCGCAGCTTCCTCCCTTTCCTCCTTCAAGGCCGGTCTCAAGACCTTTCTCTTTGACCGTGCCTTCAGCTCCCCTCTCGACTCTCTACCCCCTCTCGCTCCCTCCCTTCCCTTCCCTCACCCTGACCATTTGCCCCCTGCTCGGGTCCTGACCCAACTGTACAGCGCCTTGGGACATCCTCCCGACGTGAAAGGCGCTCTATAAATGGAATCTTGTTGTTGTTGTTGTTGTTTGCGCAAGTGACACTTGTTGTACAAAGGACAGAACAACAATTAGCCACTATACAGCACCCTTCACGTCCGGTAATGCCTCAGAACTCTTTACAAAGATGGGGTTGAATTCTGGACAATGCACAGAGTGGGGGGGGGAAAGGTTGGGGGGGAAGAGAAGGAGGTGACCATAGACGATGTTGAAGAGGTAAGTTTTAAGCCATTTACATTTGTGTCAGCCTGGCTCAATCAGCAGGTTGGAGTTCAAATCCTACATCAGGTTTTGGAATCACATAGTCTAAGCTGACACTCCAATGCAGTGCTGGGTGGGTGTTGACTGTTGAAGTCCTTTAGGTGAGACGTTAAATCGAGGTCCCCTCTGCCTGTCCAGGTGGACATTAAAGATCCCGCAACGCTATTTGAAAAGAGAAGGGAGTTTCGCTCTCCCAGTGTCCTGGCCAATAATTCCCCCCCAAATTAAATTGGTCACTGGCTTCGTGGCTGCTTGTGGGAACTTGCTGTGACCTATTGTGCTGCCATGTTTGCCTACAAATAATTACTCAATCATTCGATTTCACAATAATTCCTGTCAAGCGCTTTTAAAACGTCTTGATGGCGTAATAAGATGCTATATCAAATGCAAGGATTATTATTATTTATTATTTGCAGCTTTCACATCAGGAGAATGTCTCAAATTGTTTTGCAGGGTCTACTGTAAAATTTAGTGACTGTATATTGTAGACAGACAGGACAGACGGACGGACATGGAGGGAGGGAGGGACGGACGGACGGGCAAGATGGAGGGTTAGAGGAAGTTCCAGAGGTTCAGCACATAAATCTGATCAGCTAAAGGTCTCTGGCTTTGTGCACATTGCAATGTACTGTACGTCAGCTGTCACTAGCAAAATCAGATCTTCTGTCCTGTCACTATTTTCCGTGAAGTTTTTCTGTTCGGATCTACGAAGTTACTTAAACTTTGCCCCCAATGACTTTACAACACAGGGAGAGCGTACAGAAGGACCTGATGCCAGTCACAGCATCAATGCTGGTGCAAGTTGAACTGCAAGTTTCCCTGAGTAGGTAAGTCAAAGTTACGGTGAAAGAAAAGCCATTGAGGTAAGGTATCACCAGGGTGTAGATTCAATCTTAGCCGTGCATTTCGGAGTTCTTTGGAGTTCAAAAGAAATTTACAGGAAAATTAAAGACTGAAGTAATGCAGTACTCAATGCATTCTCCAGTGCATTAGGATGGGTATTGCACCTCAAATTGAACCTCAAATAATAATAATAGGTTCAGGACATATGTGCAGGTGACCGCCAGGAAGGTGGAAGGTGAACTCAGATGGACCTTGGTCTTTTTTAGTTCCAGCATTTCTTATATTCTTAAGGTAAACGCTTAAAACGTGCTAACATTTATTCTTCCTTAAGAACCTCAATTCTGCTCCATTCCCCTCTCCCTCACCAATGGCTTGTGCTGTGACGCTCTATGTGATTCAGCTTGTTTTCTCGGCCTCATCGCTTGTTGTTTACTTGCTGACCCAGGGAGCATAAAACCCACTTGGCGTACTTCAGTGGCTCAGTCATGGGTGAGAGCGCCATGAAGACGTTCGACGATGTGGGGAGTTCTGTGGACTTCACGTTTCAGGTGATTGTTAATTACAACCCCGAGAGATTCAGTCACGCAATGGGTGGTGCATCCAACATAGTAGTACTAATAATAATCCTTGCGCTGTTTCACATAGCGCCTTTCACGTCGGGAGGACATCCCATAACACACAGCTTAATTTCTCCACCGAACAATGACACTACTGACAATCCCTCAGCTCCGCCATTAAGTGGCACTTCCCTCAATCCTAGCTGCCGCCATGAGGTATATAGGGCACGACATTATCAAGCAACTGCCAGGATGGTGGAAGGTGAACTAGATGGGCCTTGGTCTTCTTTGCGCCCAGCAAATTCTTAAGAGGAAGGGTCGATAGAACTGTGTCATTGTTCAGTCAAATTGAAAATGTAGCCAGATGCACAAAGTGGTTCGTACAGCTGGAAATAAAAATATGAACTTTATTGTGTGACCTGCGGTTAAGATCACTCCTTCCTCTTATTTTCATTGAGTATGCGCGATCGACCCTCATACACGCATTCGTCACCTCAAGGCTGGATTATTGAAACTCTCTCCTCGACGGCCTCCCCCAACTCTTCCCTCCACAAGCTGCAGATCATCCAGAACTCTGCAGCTCGTGTCCTCTCCCACACCAAGCTCCATGATCCATCACCCCCACCCTCACCTAACTCCATCAGAGGGTAGAATTCGAAATCTCGTTCTCACTTTCAAGGTCCTCCACGGCCTTGCCCCTCCTACATCTCTGACCTGTTGACCCTTATCAACCTGTCTTCTCCCATCCATTCAGCAGGCTCTGACCTGCTCCATGTCCCCCACTCAACCCGCCCTATCGGTGGCCAGGCTATCAGCCTGTGCCCCACCCTTTGGAACTCCATCCCAAAATCCATTTGTTTCATCTTGCTCCCTCCCTTGACTCCTTCAAGGCACGACTCAAGACCCTCCTTTTCGACGGTGCCTTCAGCCGCCCTCCTACCTCTTTGCCCTCCCTCACCCCAACCCTGCTGCTCCCGCAAGCTTGGGTCCTGATCCCTGACTGTTCAGTGCCTTGGGACGTCCTCCCGACGTGAAAGGCACTTTACAAATGTAATTTTGTTGTTGCTGTTGAGCTCAAAAACTCCACATGGGACTTGAATTGAATTGGCTGCCACGTTTCACCTACAAAACACAGTCAATTCACTTTACAGTCTATTCTGTGAAGCGCTTTGAGTGTCTTGAAGACGTGATAAGGATTATTGTTATTATATTGAGCCCGCAACCTTGAGACTTGGAGGCGAGAGCGCAACCAATTGAGACAGACTGACCCACACCCTTGATACAACACGCTACAATGGAGTTTAATAGGCAGAAACTTTACTGAATAACTTGCAGTTTATCAAACAGCTAATATTCCCCACTATTTTAACTCTTTATACAGGTGGTAAATATCGGAGAACCTCTGGGGAACCTGGGGGAACTTTACCTCAGTTTCTTGTGGCCTCATGAAATCAGCAATGGCAAATGGTTGCTATACTTGACTGAAATAGAAATGAACGGGACAGATGACCAGTATTGTGTACCAGAGGGGAATGTCGTGAATCCACTGAACTTAATGGTACCTGGATTATTTTCGTCGTGTTTCTCAATTGACGTTTCTGCACCTCAGTCAACGCATTCAGTATCTTTACACAGAATGATATGGCAAATGGGCCATTTGGTGAAGTAGGCCATGCTGGTATTGACCCTCCACCACTCTCTTCTCTTCTCCCTCATGTATATATACCATTGTAAAGTCCTGTAGCTCAGTGGTTAGAGCACTCGCCTCACAAGCGAAAGGACCTAAGTTCGATTCCTGGGCAGGGTGAAACGTTGGGCAAGTTTCCTTAGTCCACACACCTCTATTTACCTCACAGTAAGTAGGAACCTGGTTGTTAGTCGATTGGCTTTTCTGGGGTTGATAATCCCTTCAAAAATAATAATAATAATAATTTGGCCACTCAATCCACGCCTGTTTGTGGGACCCTGCAGTTGGCTGCCACGTTTCGCCCACAAAATATACAGTCAATCCATGTTATAGTATATTCTGTGAAGCGCTTTGAGACGTCTCAAAGATCCACATTCTCACCACCCTCCTAGACCTGTTAGATCTATGACTGGCTTCTCTCTTAGATTCATTTGTTTGCCTTTTTGGTTATTTAAATCACTATTTACTTGCGATCTGGTTCTGGGGGCGCTCCTGAGCTGTGGATTCCTCGATCAGGATGCGGGCACTGTTAACCCTTTGTTGACCGGCTGTGAAACAACCGTCTCCTCCTCCAGATGGCTAAACAAACGAAACAGGCGGTGAGACGGAAGCGGGAAGCTGTGCCAGCCGTGGACCAGGAGAAGAGGAGACTCCTCAGCCATGCCAAAGCCAAGGATAATCTAGAGTTAGTAAGTACCGTAACATTAACATTGCGTAGGGGGAGTGGAGGAGGATAGGGAGGGGGAGGGGCGAAAATGGCATGAGGGCTTCAACCCACAACCTTCTGACCCAGAAGTGAGAATGCTACCAACTGAGCCAAGCTTTCAGGTGTTGCATGTACCCAGTTTTGACAGACATATATTATTATTATCTCCCCTTCTGAACGATGGGGTTGAGAGGTTATGGCGTGGGCGACACGCACACAGTGTTCGTATGTTCGCCATTCACTGTTGGGAGATTGAGCGGCCTTGTCTTAGCCCGACGCAAGACGCTTGTTAATGCAACTGAATGCTTGTCTTGTGAACAGGAATGTAATAACAAGCACACAGCCAATTGCAGGAAATTCCAGTGTCTGCTCAGTAACATGACTGACAAGGCTACAGTAACACTAAGAGCACGAGTGTGGAAAAGCACTTTCTTAGAGGTACGGACAGATTTCTCATTGATTTGGATCAGTAACTTTATTTTAATGTATTTTCCTCCTTGTAATTAGATAAGTCTACAGTAACCTGAGACATTGAGGCTTACTGTGTGTTATGTAAATGCCTGTGTATTATGTGCTGTTAGTAAAGGCATGTACAGGTTGGAGGGAATTAAAGGTGACATTATTATGCAATTAACAATTAAACCATTTACATCAGCCGCTAGTTACATCATCCTTATAATAATAATCCTTGCATTGATTTAGCACCTCGTGATTTCATTGAGAGGTCGCAAAGTACTTTACAGAATACACTGTGAAGTGGTGTGGCTGTCTGCGTATTTTGTGAGTGAATGCAGCAGCCAGTTATCACATAGCAATTATCCAAATAAGTCAGTGAAGTGAGTGGCCAATTTTACCTGTGGGATTGTCGGCCAGGACACCGGGAGAGAGAAATTCCCTTCCCTTTCCAAGAGGCACCATGGTATCTTTAACATCCACCTGAACAGGCAGACGGGACTTCAGTTTAGTGTCTCATCCTTCTAATAATTGCATGAATTCAGTTAGAACTAAATCCACTATTGACTTGTGTGTGTTTTTTGCCTCCTTAGGAATACAGCGACTTCAGTCGCATTATTGTACAGATGGAAGCTTCCTTATACCTGAAGACTAATATAAGTACAATAAAAATGGACGAAGCACCCGTGAAAGTAAGTCATGAAATGGAATTGCTTTCTGTTATCAAGTCGGCAAGCTCATTGTATAATAATATAATAATAATCCTTGCATTTGATGTAGCACCATATCATGTCTTCGAGGGGTCTCAAAGCACTTCACAGTAAAGCGAATTGACTATATATTTTGTGGGCTATAAACTAGTATTGTGCTGTAAACTGCTTTGTTTAATGCAGGCAATACTCTATGTTATGTCTAACGTTGATGAAGAACAGCAGTACGAGATACCGCTGTGGATCATCATTGTTGCAGTCCTGGCTGGAGTCTTGCTCTTGAGTCTAATTGTACTCTTACTATGGAAGGTATGTTTATTTCCATTTAATGTTAACTGCTGTTTATCGGGGAGAAATTCCTCCTTGTCTAAGATTTACTCTCTTAATGCAATACAACAACAACAACTTGGAGCACTTAACAGTGGTGGAGCCCAATGCCGAGCCAGTGTGACCATAGGCACGGTCCAAGAGGAAGGTTTTCAAGCGCAACCTGAAAATGGAGAGAGAGAGAGGGGGGGGAGGGGGGGCAAGGCGAAGGGATTGATGGAGAGAGTTCCATGCTTCGGGGCACAGTGACTGAAAGCACCTCAAGTCCAGAATTCAACAAAACTGAAATGAAATTGCAAATTTGCTATCGAAGCAGCAGGCGCCTGAGCCCAGATCGTTTTATTAGTTAAGGGTTCACTGTTGGTTTTACTCTGAGTTTGTTTGGGTGACTTGCTTTTTATTATTACAATTATTAATAATAAGTATTGATTATGAATAATAATAATTCTTGCATTTGATATGGTGCCTTATCGCGCCGTCAAGACATCTCAAAGTATTTCACAGAATATACTGTAAAGTGAATTGACTGTGTGTTTTGTGGGCGAAATATATTGTAAAGAGAATTGACTGTCTATTTTAGTGCGGTTTCTTCAAAAGAGCGAGCACACGGGCCATGTATGAAGCCAAGGAACAGAAAGCTGAAATGAAGATTCAGCCATCAGAAACTGAGAGGCTCACTGATGACGATTAGCCTCCTGCACTTTTTGGTAATATTGCGTGCAGAGAACTATTCCAATAATATTTGGGGGAGAAATTCCATCTCCATTTTCCGCCTCCTCTTCCCCCACCCCATATGTAACTACTCCATTTCACAAAGCCCAGAGTTTGGGAAATTCTCAAATCTCTGTTCCAATGAGATTCTGTTCAATACAATACAAAATTACATTTGTACAGTGCCTTCCACGTCGGGAGCACCTCCCAAGGCCCTGGACATTCAGGGATTTGGACCTGATCGGAGGGAGGGGGTGGGTTCAAATTTAAGAGCAAAAGTGGCTTCAGATTTAGTTTTGAGTTAAAAAATTTGCCAAATTCTTTGCTCTCTCTGAAACACCATGTAACCAGGATAAATCTACCTTTACCTCCCCCCAACCACCCCCATTCCAGATTGGGGATAGACTCTCCTCACTTTCCTTTTCAAATCTTTCCAAACGGGAGTGGGGGCAGAAAGGGTAAAGGTGATGTTTTCACAACAGATTCCACGGGATAATTTTGAAACAGCGCAATTTTTCAATCGATTGATTTCCACATTCTTTTTAGGTTACTTAAAATTTCTTCTCCTCACAGCTTTTCAGTCTAACCGCACTTTTCTTCCTTTGATTCAATAACAGTTTCTAAACTAAATGTCTTTTCTCCTTCTGGTTTTACTGATTGTTCTCCACAGGCTCACAACCACTAACCCATAATCTTTCATCTCCTCTGACTTCTCTAATAGAACCTAGGTCTAATTGGGTGTGATTGATTTTAGCCCAATAGTTTGGTACACAATTGGATGCAGTGCTATGTAAAATCAATTGAATGTTAAATTATGAAGGGATTCGATAAGGTGAATAAGGTTTCCACTTGTTGGTATCATTGTTAGACCATCCTTAAGTATTGTTCTGTTGCTATATTTACTTCCCATATACAGTAGCAACAGGCATTCCTCGCTCTGTTTAATATTATAATAATCATCGCTATAATTAAAAATCCCTACAATTTGACAGAGTGTCTTTCACATTAGAGGACGTCTCAAAGTGCTTTGCAGGATGTACCGCAAAGTGGAATGAATGCGTGTTTATTTGGTTGGTGAACATGGGCAGCCACTTTGCGCACGGCAATGTCCCACAAACAGCCATGAAGTGAATGACTCATTTTATTTGGGGTGGTGGGGGGGATGGGGGGTGGAATTGTCAGCCAGGACATTGAGAGAAAAATCCCTTCTCTTTTCAAATTGTGCCATGTGGGATCTTTAACATCCACCTGAACAGGCAGACAGCTTAACATCTCATCTGAAAGACGGCACCTCCAACAGTGTAACGTGTTTGAACGTGCTTGGGGTGAGCCGTTTAATATTGTAGTTGTGTGGTTCCCACGAACTGATGTCAACGCTGTGTGAGGAGACCGACATGAGGCAACTCGCGTTAACTAACTCTCGTTGTTGTTTTTCAAAGTGCGGCTTCTTCAAGAGGACAAGATACTACAGGACCATGCCAAAGTATCATGCTGTGAAAATTCGCAAAGAGGAACGCTACTTTATCACAGAAGGCTTCACAAAGAAGAGCCAAACAAAGCAATGGGTAACAAACTGGAAAGAGGAGGACCATCCATATTGACTGATTCTTGCTCAACATCAAAATGGGGGGGAGTGAGGGGTGTGTGGGGGGGTTTAATTGCTGAGGCTAAATTCCTTTCTAGCGAATAAACCAAGGGACCTGGACCAGTGGACAGACAACATCTGTCCACATCAGTTTGGTTCTATTTATAATAAGTTATGTTTCAGCCAAACTCAAGATTTTATAAATATAGATAAATATATGTGACAAAGTTTACGAAGCACGGAGAGAAGAGATTTTTAAAAATTCTCTCGCTGTCTTGGAAGCTGACCTTTAATTTACTGCTAAGAGCTGGAATACATTCTCTTTTCCTCTCTCTCCCACTAACTCCCCCACCCCCACCACACACCCTCCAATGGGGTTAGACTGTTTCTAAGGGGGTGTTCAATGCACTGACACTGTTTGGGCAGGTCAGGGAAGTGGGGGGGTGGTTGGGGAAGGGACGATTTTATTATTTTACAAAGCAAAAATGTCAGCGTTCTCAAGAAGCGCTTTGCTCTGGAAGAATCGACAATTCTAAAGCAACTTTTTTTTTCTAAAGTTTCTTCTGTTCTCTTAAAGTTTCTAATTTATTACGTCATTAAATATTGTGGGTTTACGATAGACTGGACCCAGATTGTAAAGAAAGCTGGAGAGAAGGAGACTATTCCAATGTTAAGCAACGATAGAGAGTGGGGGTTTGGCAGTGGTTGAGGAACTCAAGTTCATGTGGTTTCGTGGATTTTGGTGACTGATTCAGCAAAACTACATCATCTGGTCTAAGGCTTTAGTGCAGAGGTATTCAATCCGTTGTCTTTTCTTCAATGCTCAATGTCTGTTGAGTTGCTTCCAGTATTGCATTGTAAATGGCATGATCCGAAATATAATAATAATAGCCTTTACATCTTGATACAGAATCTTTTACATCGGGGAGGACGTCTCAAAGCACTTCACGGGATATACTGTAAAGTGTAGTGACTGTGCACTTTGTAGGCGAACGTGGCAGCCAACAGCTCAAAGGAAATAACCAATTTTAACAGGGAAGAAACTCCCTTCCCTTTTTGAATATGGGCCAATCATCTATCCTTGCCCACTGAGTGACCATTACAAGTGGGCGTATAAACATCAATAGATTTGCATTCTATAATGCAAAGCCGCCAATATTAAAGAGAGAGAAAAGTAATAGTTAGGATATTTTTCCTCCTCATTTTTTAAGAGATTTGAAGAAAAATGCAAAACATTTAGCCTTTCTTTGATATTGCATAAAACTTGGTTCTATCATTTTTCGAATGCGATACAGTCAACTCCTGATAACTCGTCACTCCGAGGGAAAGTGGGGGGAGCTCAGTGATGAGTTATCAGGAATGGCGAGTTAGATGTGTGTATAAATACATAAATAAATGTTCCCGGGATGTTGACAGCATGAAAACTCAAGTGGCAGTGACAAGTTAAGCCAAGGTTCAGTTATCAGGAGTTTGCTGTATACACCCAACCAGCAATAGATTTTGAATATAGATCCAATACATTAATGTCAGCCTTAGATATTTTATCTCACTATGTACTAGCAATTCAGCATAAATTAAGGTACTGAAAATGATCGGAATTTTGAGACCGTTTTTGCACACATTTATACCTTTAAATGAAAGATTATTGATTTTTTTGGAGAAGAAAATTAATTGGGGACAAATCTAGCATTTCTGTGCAGAAACCAAAAGCTTTTCTCTCTGAAAAGGGACAATATAATAATAATAATACTTGTATTTGATATAGTGCCTTATCACATCTTCGAGACGTCTCAAAGCGCTTCACAGAATACACTATAAAGTGAATTGATTGGGGAAGGGAAGATTTTATTATTTTACAATCTTGTGGGTGAAATGGACAATTGCACACAACAGTGTCCCACAAACAGTCGTGGATTGAGTGACATTATTATTATTTTTAAATTAATTACCTAGACAGAAGCTCCCACCTTCATTTCCTCGGCAGAAATGAAGGAGTCAGCACTGAGACAAAATAATTATTTTATTTTATATCTGAGATAACTGAATTTTTTTTGTGAAAATCTAGATAATCAGCAATAGGTTATGTTAATTGCGGAGTAGGGGATACAATGGTTGCCATTTGCAGAGCTGAGGGCTGGGGTTACAAAGAGTGACAGTAATGCTTACATTCAATATAGGGTCTTTCACGTCGGCAGGATGTCTCAAAGAGTTTATTCACAGGATGTATGTACTGTGAAGTGTAGTGACTGTGCACAAGTGCACAGGCACTCTGAGTGTGGGGGGTGCTCTATAAATGCAAGCTGTTATTGTGCATTTTTGTAGGTGAATGCGACAGCCAGTTTGAGCACAGCAATGTCCCACAAATAGCCATGAAGTGAATAACCAATTTTATGTGAAGGTGGTTGGGCTAGGACAGGCACACATGGTCGATAAACTAATTAGTGCCTTGTTTTGACAGGCAGAATGGGGGAAATGCATCTGAAGTCTCCCATCTGAACTTACCATGTGGGGAGAATTACAGATGGGTTCTACCTCTCCACAGCATAGAGCATTAAAGGATTTAGGTGCTCTTTTTTAATAGGTTGCCTTCTGCTGTTATTCTTTTATTCACAGTACTTGACAGGATTTACTGTCAAAGTAACTGCAACCACAATATCTGGAGGAAAACTGTGTTCAGCCCGTTACATAAATAGACACATTAGAAAATAAATTGGAATGTGAGAAAATATTGCCACGGAGACGAACACGACAGCTAATCCCTTATGCAGGGACATCGAGCTATTTATTTCAAAGGCTATATTTGCTTTTAAGAAAAAGGCAAAAAGAATCTCTACATCAATACACGAGAGCCAGAGCCAATCTCGTGAAGAGAATGGTGGTAATGCCAAAATATTGAACGCAAAACAGGGTTTTAACATCTTGAGATCTGTAACAGCCTTGCTTTGTAACCAGTCTCGTAACGTGCAGCGCAACAGGGAGCTGCTGTGATCTCTCGGTGATGTTAAAGAGGTCACGGCAGTGTTTTTATTTATTTCCAGCAAATCACTGGCAATCATTTTGTTCCCATCCACCCTCCCTTTGGATGTTTGAATGCAGCGTAAAAGCAAGTTGTTGTGTAGTGCTACTGTTCAGCCTGTGGTTTATCGCAGCCATTTCTTACCTGACGCAAAAATGCTAAGTCAATACAATTTTTAAAAAAAATAAAGTTGTTTCCTGGGAAACTCTGCCAAGTGCTGCACAACTGCCTCTCAGCCAGAGGGGGGCGACAGCAGCTATATTAATTATAAAGCAGCTTCTGAGGCCAGTCACTTGAACACAAACCAATTGATTTTTCTGGTGTGTGTGTTTAACATCTGAACTTTGTCTCCTGTTTTGATCAATGCACTTCCTCTCTTGTAGGGTGAACCCCCCCTCAGGCACTCGTATCCGATTCTCATGTTAAGCGCTCCTTGCATTTGATGTAGCGCCTGATCAGGTCTTCAAGACGTCTCAAAGCGCTTCACAGAATATACTGTCAAATGAATTGACTGTATATTTTGTGGGCGAAACAGCACTATATAAATGCAAGTTCTTCTATTCGTTGCTCTGCAAAGGAGAAGTGGTGCGTGTGTACATGCAGTTACACCATCTGAAGCAATCTGCTGTGCTTTACGTAACACCACAGCTACTTAAATGATTTCAACTCTCAACATAAATAGTGCTCATTACACCCACTTCTCGAACCACCTAGGATTTGGGTATTTTCATGAAGGGATTTGCTTTTTATGTTTTATTATCTCATTGGTGCTAGAGAAACAAATCCGGGATAATGTTAATTTTATTCAGTTCTGACTCTGGGGACTCCTATCCTTCTGCCCGAAATTTGGTGGGTTATGTACACATTCAGGCCAGATTGGGGGCATGGGGGTGGAAAGTGGGGATGGGAAAAGATAATAATCCTTGCATTTGATATAGCGCTTTTCACGTCTTCTAGACGGCCCAAAGCGCTTCACGGAACACACTAAAGTGAATTGACTGTATATTTGTGGGCGAATGCGGCAGCCAATTGCGCACAGCAATGTCCCACCAACAGTCATGGATTGAAAATGACCAATTTATTATTGTTTTTGGTTTTGGAGGGATTGTTATTAGGCTCTGTGTGGAGTAAGGAAACTTGCCCAAGGTTTCGCCCTCTGCCTGGAATTGAACTCAGGTCTCTCACTTGCAAAGCGAGTGCTCTAACCACTGAGCTACAGGACTCCAGGGTGATAGGGTGACAAATAATTCTAATGAAAATTGCCAGGTAAGGGCAGTGTAATTCTGATTGCAAAAACACAATGTGTTGCTTGGCAGTTACTGTGTTGTCTCTGTTTTGATAGGTGTTATGTGAATTATGGGTTTACAATAGGGGGATGTTCTGCTGAAGTTGACGTTATTATTAATAATCCTTATGTTTGATTCAGCACCTTTCATATCAGGAGGACTTCTCAAAGAGCTTCTTGGAGGTGTAACTGGGTGGAAATTCTACCTGAATCTAGATTTGACCTCTTCATTTTCTTAGATGTTCCGGGTTTCAGCAAACCCCTTAACACTTTGGTGCTACAGTTCGGTAGAATTCGCTTTAGGAAGTGAAGATATTCGGCTTCAGTATCGAGACTGAGTTCGACAACTTGTCAGTTTACAGATGTTCTGAAATTTAGGAAAACAGCAAAATGCATTCCAGCGAATTTTTCTCCTCAAAGTGTTTTGCCAGTGCAAAAGGGATATTTACCTTCCATCCAACTTAGGAGGTGAATAATTCTGAGAGTGACTCTGGTAGGTAGGGTAGCGTTCTGGACCCTTTCCGCCCTGAAAGAGCAGTTCCTTCAGCACTCTTCACCTACCCTTTAAGGTGCAGTACCCTTAAATTGATCAGACAGCACAACATACAGGATTTCACGGGGTATCAGTTCATGGGAAGTGTTTTAAATCTGAACAAAAATGTGCACTTGTACAATGGCTAACCCCCTGGACAAATGCTGAACCCCTGACCAGTTGCTAAACATCTGGTCTCTCAGTGCAAGTGTGTTAGTCAGTTACTACTGTATTTGATGTTTTACTACTGATCATTGGCAATGATATACATGTGTTAAGAAATAAACGAAGAGAGTTAATGTACTTTTGATTTGTAAAAACTATTGCTTGGATGTGGGGGAGGATTTTAATTTACTACTGTAATATGTTGTGTTAAATTGTACGCAGGAGTGCACTAGAGTGTACAAAAATGTATTGTCCAACACTGTTTCCGCAGATGCAGAAACAGAAGAAATCTTTTTGATAGTGCTACTGGAATATCGAAATAAAATATTTTTATCAAAACCCATCAGGGGCTGTCATTCTCCCTCGTCAACAGCAACTTGCACTTTTACCTACAGTCATTACACTCTATAGTTTTCTATATTGTTCCTTTGGAGCTTTTCAAGTCAGGAGGATGTATTAAAGCATTTTACATGATTTACTCTAAAGTGTAGTAAGTGAATTTTGTAGTTGAAGTTGAAGTTTGAAGTTTGCATTTGTAGTTGAATGCCGTGGCCAGTTTGCACACAAACAGCCGGAGCGGAGGGAACGCACAGGTTGTTGCCAATCAATTCCGCGCACACCTCTCCTTCCACTCCCTCTTTGAACCTCTCCAATCCGGTTTCTGCCCACAGTACAGAGACTGGGTTTGTGAAAGTCACAAACGACATCCTCTCTATCTGTGACCAGGGCTCCCTCTGCCTCCTTGTCCTGGACCTCTCCGCCGCGTTCGACACAGTCGATCACACCATCCTCCTCCACCGCCTTTCCTCCATCATTCACCTCAGTGGGACCGCACTCGCCTGGTTTGAGTCCTACCTCACAAACCGCCAGCAGTACATCTGCACAAACAGCTTCTCCTCCCGCTCTCACCCGGTCACCTGCGGGGTACCCCAACGATCCACCCTTGCCCCCCTCCTCTTCCTGATCTACATGCTCCATCTTGGGGATGTCATCTGCAGACATAGGGTACATTTCCACATGTACACGGACGACACCCAACTCTACTTTTCCACCTCTCTTTGCGACCCCCAGTCCCCTGATGTTCTGTCAGCTGCCTGTTAGATCTCAGGGGCTGGATGAGCGCAAATTTCCTTCAGCTGAACTTTGACAAGACGGAAGCCATACTCTTTGGCTCTCGTTAACGTTTAAAATCTAACGGCTCTTACCTCTTCCACCTACCTGACCTCCCCCTAAAACTCTCCGAACCCATACGCAACAGGTTCGACCCCCAATTATCCTTCCTCCCCCACATCCGGTCCCTCACCAGCACCACTTTCTTCCACCTCTGACGTATCGCCCGTCTCAGCCAATATCTCACTCAAAAAGCCGCCGAAACCCTGGTCCATGCCTTTGTCACCTCTCGGCTGGACTACTCTAACGCCCTCCTCACCGGTCTCCCATCCACTACCATCCACAAAATTCAGATCATTCAAAACTCTGCCGCCCGCATCCTCACCTGCACGAAACTCCACTCCCTGATCACCCCAGTCCTTGCCAGACTGCACTGCTGCCTATCCCAGAGAGGATCGACTTCAAGATCCTCACTCTTGTATTCAAATCCCTCCACTCCTCTGCACCCCCCGACCTCTCTGACCTCCTCTCTCCTCAAAACAGAACCCGTTGCCTTCGGTCCTCTGGGTCTGGCCTCCTCCTCGTTCCCCCCTCCCCGCCGAGTCCTCCGCTCCACCCTCGGCGGCCGCGCCTTCAGCCACTATGCCCCGAGGCTCTGGAACTGCCTTCCTCACTCCCCGCCCCCTCCCTTCCTATTTTCAGGTCTCAGCTGAAGACCTTTCTCTGACCGAGCTTTTGGTCACCTTTCCCCCCCTCCCCCGGCTCAGCCCCGGGATCCGTTACTGGGAAGTGCTCTGAGACACCGTCTGGCGTGGAGGGCACTACATAAACCCAAGTTGCTGTTGTTGTTATTACCCCTATACACACACACACAGAGCACTGCCCAACCCCAGTAACAATATGTCAATAGTAACACGTGTCAGAGTGACAGCCGCGCATGCGAACAGGAGTCCAGCTCTCCAGCCCCATCCCCCCTTTGTGACGTCAGCCACAGCGGAAGAGAGGGAGAAAGAAGCTCCGATTGGTCGAGCCGCGTGGTACCTCGCCCGAGACAGCCTTGTGATTGGTCGTGGGTGGGGGGGAGGGAGTGAAATGAAAGAAAAAGCGACACAAGTCATTGGTCGAGAAGGCCGAGCGGTGGGCGGGCGCTGACCCCGCTGATTGGGCAGATCCGGGGCAGGTGTGTGTGTGTGTGTGTGTGGTCGAGGCCCTGCCATTGCCTGGGAGAGGAGCTGCCTATTGGCCGTGGCGTGCAGAGGGGCGCGGGGTGTTGTGGGGGAGTGGGAGAGTCATGTGACTGTCACCTCAGCGCGAACGGCGTCACTTGGTGCCTGGAGATGCCCCAGAAGCTTCGAGGCTGTTTCAGTCGCCTCTTCAGCCCACGAAACCGCTGAGCCGACCGACCGACTGACCGGGCAGCCCGGGCCGACAGGCAGGAGGGAGAGATGAAGTTCGTACGCTTTCTGATGAAGAACTCGTCTCTGGCCAACGTGCCGAGGCACATCGACCATTTCTCCAAGTTCTCTCCCTCGCCGCTGTCCATCAAGCAGTTCCTGGACTTCGGTGAGTATGGAGGGGGAAGGTCCTGGAAGGTTGTCTTTGTTCGGGGGGATTTTGGGGTCCCCATCTTCCCCGACAACCCCACCACCCCCGCACACACATACTCTTGTCAAGCGCTCTGGGACGCTACCCTGTGTGAGAGGTGCTGTATGCATGTTGTTGTTAAGGGGGATTTTGGGGGTTTGAGGGGTATTGGGGATTGGGGGAATATATAATAAAATAAATAATCCTTGCATTTGGTATAGCGCCCTATCACGTCTTTAAGACGTCCCAAAGCGCTTTACAGGATATACTGTGAAGTTGAGTAACTATTTTGGGGATGGGGGGTGGGGTTTACTGTATATTGGTCTCTCTGTGCCTCCTTCAACCTCCCCACCCAGCTGTGCCTTCATCTACTGTGCCCCAACCTTCTGGAACTGCCACCCTCAGTCCCTGTGCTTTGACCACACCCCCCCACCCCTTTTTGTCTTTAGATCACAATCCCATCCCCCGCTGGTTCAACATCAAGCTCTGCTACTCAGCACTCTTAAGACTCCAGCATGTGTGTAGGGCGCTATATGTGGAGTCCTGTAGCTCAGTGGTTAGAGCACTCGCTTTGCAAGCGAGAGACCTGAGTTCAATTCCAGGCAGAGGGCGAAACCTTGGGCAAGTTTCCTTACTCCACACAGAGCCTAATAATAATCCCTCCAAAAACAATAATAAATTGGTCATTTTCAATCTACGACTGTTTGTGGGACATTGCTGTGCGCAATTGGCTGCCGCGTTCGCCCACAAATATACAGTCAATTCACTTTACAGTATATTCTGTGAAGCGCTTTGGGACGTCCTCCTGACATGAAAGGAGTTGTATAAATGTAAATTGTTGTTTGGTGAGAAGAGCGATATTGGTGGGGAAGGAGAGAGAAAGGGGAAGAGCGCGAGGTGTGTGTGTGAAAGGGGTTGAGTGACTATTGGGAGAGTTTACTGCAGTGTTGTATTATAGTGCATTTTCATTTATAATGTGTTTTACCCACTGAACGGTTATCTACTTGGTGTCAAGAGAAAAGCTGCCAATCAGTGTATTAATTTTACCTGCTGCTTATGTTGTGGTGAATAACATGACAGTAAAGTGCATTGCTTGCTTTTTTAAATTTAAAAATTGTGTTTGTATTCACACAAACACCAAACGTGAGTAAGAGTGTGGCTTTTTTGCGCTCAATATACAATATAGTCTTGTTGTTTATAGAGTGGTAAGTTCACTCAGGACTTTCACTTTTACAATTTTCTGTTGAGCCCAAATATAAACACTGGAAAGCAGTTATCTCAGTCCAATCCTTTGCACCAATAGGATCATTAGTAGGAGGTCACTGTATTACTGTGTTGATCCCTCTCAGCTGTCTTGCAAGACATGCGTTAGTTACATCAGCCTGAGTTCTGAGCCAAGAAATGTTTGCAGCCACGACTTTACATGGGGGAGCTTGAAGTGAAGGCAGCAAAACAGTGCAGGAAACAACAATCGCGAAGTCAGCAGCCCCAATGAGATATTTTCTTGAAAAATAAGTTCTTTCCATTTCCAAGTTCTGTTTTAATTTTGACCAAAACACTTAATACTGGAAAGACTTGATAAGACTGGAAACGTATTGTCATCTTCTCATTTTCCACTGATGATTTGCCTCTCCTTTCAACAGTTCACAGGTCACGTGCCTCTATCATAAATAAAAATAATTACCCACAGAGGCATGCTTAAAGTAGCGTAAGACCCTTTCTATGCTTTATTTTGAAAAGAAGCTATCAATTTATTTTTAAAACAACAATCATAGATGTAACTCTAGAAATATGTTTTTTCAATCACAGCTGAAGAACACTGATCACCACACTAGAATTATACAGCACAGGAGGCCATTCAGCCCACCGTGTCTGTGCTGGCTCTTTGAAAAGAACTATCCAATTCAATCCCACTCCCCGCACTCTCCCTGTACCCCTAAACTTGTCCTTCCCAATTTCATCTCTGTCTCTTGCCTTAGTCAAATCTGTATCTATCTGCTCCTTGTTGACCATTTTAAATATAACTGCAGAAAAGAATACTAGGTGGCATTCTATTCCATGTTAATTGCTAATAAAAAAAAGTTGCTTTGATTGCTTTTAATATAAGACTATGATTAACCATGTTCTCCAGAGACAAATCTGCCCTTTTAGCATCAGAGATATCTGTCTAGGCCCTCAGTGCTGTGCCTCAGTCATGTCTCGAACAACGCTGAAAACTGCTAGGCCAAACCTCCATTTGTGCCAGGAATACCAGCACTGCTGTAGCTCAGTATTCTTTGCACATAATACCACTAGCAAAGCTGTGCATGCTGCTTCTCCTGCCTGTGAAATTCTCCACCCAATGTCAGTACCATCACCCAGAACTGTAGTACTATATTTGTATGTAAATGGTCATTTTTGCATTAGAAGATAACTGCCTCAAGATTCATCTAAACACCTACCTCTTTGATCATGCTTATGGTCATCTTTCTTTTACCCATGCCCCTCAATTCCTACTTCCAGCTTGGATGCCCAGCCAGTACTGTTAAGTGCTTTGGGACATCCTCCTGAAATGAAAGGCACTCTATAAATAGACTTCCAAGGCATTTTTGAAAAGTAAACAGCAGCATTTTTAAGAGAGATTCATCATTTTAGTGTTATTTTTCCTGTTCGAGTGTCTTCTCTCCGCTGACAATTACCCACTGGTACCACAGGGAATCGAACACGCTGCATTGCAGATGCTAAATAACAGCATCTGAGATGAAAACTAAGCACCAGCTGAGTACACACCATGTCCATGGCATGGATATCTTCCTGTTGGGAGGATTCCCTACAGACCGTGCATGTTTATACTTAGCATTGTTGTTCCGTGTCGATTTCTTATCTGCTTAGGCTCGACCAATGCCTGCGAGAAGACTTCCTTTATGTTCCTGAGGCAGGAGCTGCCTGTGAGACTCTCGAACATTATGAAGGAGATCAACCTTCTCCCAGACCGGCTTCTCAGCACACCCTCCGTTCAGTTAGTCCAGAGCTGGTGAGTAATAACAATTTGCATTTATATAGCGCCCTGCACCCGGGGTATCATCCTGGAACACTTGACAGTGACGGGGTCGACCCTGAGCCAGGGGGAAAGGGAGTAACCACTGCAAAACTGAAGATAATATTGAGATGAGAGAAAATGCTGCTTTGAGAAGTCTCGAAAATATGATAAGGCGCTATATCAAATGCAAGCATTAGTTTCAAGTCACAAGTTACCTTTTTTGTGGTTTCTTAAATATTGTATGTCAGAAATAGAATATAAATATTTTTTTTCATAGGATATTAATAGCATTTTTTTCCTCTGATTTGTTCAACAAACGCTGATTTTTGTTGCCTGTAAATTATTGTGATCAGCTACCTCTGTACAGTATTTCCACCTGTGGCAATGATACAAAATATCATTCATATTCCAGTTGAACAAGCTTCAAGTTGTCAGGCTGGACAATCTCAATTGCTCTGTGACATTGTCCCACTTCAGTTTGTTTATCAAGTACTTATGTTATTTCTGGTGTTTTTACTTAAATTGTGACAGCAGTGTCTGATAATTACATTCATGTTAACCCTTTGAGAGTAGGAGTGATCTCTGAAGCATTTATGTTGCACAGTTTTTATTGAACCACATGGGATTTCTTCAATTATTCAAGCTATAGGCACTGTAACATGTTAGCTGTGCATGCTGTGTTAGAAGGCTATTTGACCTAGAAGACCACAAGAGGCACAGAACTAGTAAACTGCTGACTTGGAAGATACCAGATAATTCAGTACAGACCTAATATGTACAGCCAGAGCTTCATTGGAGAACATAGAACCAGCTTTTTAATTGCAAGAATTGTATTTCTGTGGGACAAGGAAAATAATGTGGCCGTGCAGAATTTGTAACAAATTTTAACTGGCTGAGGGCCACAAACCCCAATGTAGCAACAGTAATTATATAATAATAATCCTTGCATTCGATATAGCGCCTAATCGTATCTTCATGACATCTTCACAGAATATATTGACTGTATATTTTGTGGGCGAAACAAGCAGCCAATTGCACACAGCAGTGTCCCACAAACAGTTGTGGATCAAGTGGCCAAATTATTCTTTTTTTGAAGAGGTAATTACCACCAGAAAAGCGATCCGCCAGTTTCTACTTACCATTAACAGAGGCATGTGGAGTAAGGAAACTTGTCCAAAGTTTAGGGAGTAAATCAAGAAATATTCAATCAAGAATATTTGTTTTGTTGGTCAACCACTGTGTTAGGGAGTTTTATCTTCATGTTACTAGATTCAAACCTCAAAAGAGCACTTGCACTGACTGTATTGCTGCTATTTCTAGTTCTCACATAAGCTACTCTGTTGGACTTCACTGCAGACATGATCTAATCTCATTCATGTTGACCTTTTGTGCAATGGCCTAGTATCCAGTTGATCTTTGGATTAGACGTGTTTTACTTTAGAACACACCCCATCTAAGAAAACGGAAAGTGCCAATATCATTAGTCTGTAGTTTCAATACTGGCCACGGAAATCAAAGGCTGAAAGTGTGCTTAACCTTTTGTGTCACTGTGTCAGTCAGCTGCAAACATATGAATGCCTTGAACTTCCAGATAAGTTTACAATATAGATAATGGCACAAGCAGTACTCTGGGAAAGATACAAGACTTGTGACAAAACAGGATCTATAAGACCTGATTGTCTTACACTTTCTCTGATATCCATCGGTCAATTGCAGAACAAATATCTATCTGAAGTATGGTTTTAAATTTTTACCACAGTTGCTCAACAATTTCAGGGCCTGAAGTGGCAAAAGCATGGCATTGCTAATTTCTTTATTAGACTGATTTTCCTTTGAACCCTTCCCCCCTCCTATACAGAATGCTTTATGAAATATTAAATGCATTTGTCCAAATGTCTCCTTTAAATATTTTCTGGTTTAGATTTTGAAAAAAAAATGCTCATCTATTTTGTGCATGAAATTTTGATTTCAGAATAATGGTAACTGCACAACTTGCAGTACAAATGAAATATCTATACATCCAGGTCATTAATGTGCCAGACAGCCTGGTGAAGCACTAAAAACGTTACTTGGGATTTCTTCGGATCTCTTTGGCTTTAAAAAGCAAGAAGACTGAAAAACAATGAACCCTGTGTCAATTAACATTCTGCAGAAAGCAGGTTGGGAATAGAGACAGTTGATGTGGTGAAAGATTTCAAATTACCCTGGGTCAGATCATAAGAGCCATATACTGTACTATCATACAATAGACTTTCACAATTGTTTGCCTCTTGTTGGGTTCAGTGGAAGCCAGACTGGCTGCATTGCGATCGATAAATAAAAAGCAAACTCCCCTTCCTCTCTATCATTCTTCGTTTTGTTGCTTCATTTTATGTAGGTAAACAACCTACCACCACCCTTCTCTTTTGAGCAGTATTGTTCATAGTGCCTCATCAGCAACATAGCTTAAATTGGCAAGTAATATTACACCTTATCATGCTCTTGCCTCATATTTCCCTGAAGGCATATATATATATATATATGAGTATTAGTCATAAAGGTATTGAGTCCTTTGAAGGAAATCCAGTTCCAATGGGAGTACTTGGTCCTTAATGATGAAACCATTTGAACTTAACATTCTCGTCATTTACAAGAAACTTAATTTGTTTACTTTATATTCAGTATGATTTGTGCGAAACTGAATGTGGAATCATGCTTATTTTGATTCAGGTACATACAAAGTCTTTTGGATATCCTTGAGTTCTACACCAAGAACGCTGATGATCATACTGTTTTATCTGGGTAAGTGTGTGGATATTTCTTTCGTATCTGTAGCTCAGTGGTTGGAGCATTCACCTTGCAAGCCAGAGACCTGGGTTCGATTCGCGGCAGGGTGAAAACTTGGGCAAGTTTCTTTACTCCACACGCCTGATAATACCTCAAAAAAAACAAAAATAAATTGGTCATTTCAATCCACGATTTTTGTGGGACACTGCTGTGTGCAATTGGCTGTTTGTTGCATTTCACCCACAAATATACAGTCATTCACTTTACAGTATATTCTGTGAAGCGCTTTGATACGTCTAGAAGACATGAAAAGCGCTATATCAAATGCAAGGATAATTATTATATCTTTCAGAACAGGCTATGGTATTTATAGTTGTCATTTGCTTACATTTTGGTTTGGCAGATAGAGAGTAAATTTATTCTAGCATTAGTAACTGAAAGGCGTTAACTTGAGACAGTAAATTGATTACCTTTATGCCAAATGTACTTTGGCACCAATTGCATTCAAATACCAAATGTGTCTTTCATCTTGCTAAGCAAATTTCATGGGCTTGTTTTTCATTGTTGTTTTTATATCCTGTGTCACTCTTAACTTTTTTTGCCTGTTTAATTTAACCACAGGAACCTTTGTGTGGAAAGGCCATAAAAATAAATAAATTAAAAATCACGTTTAATGGGATGGCCATGCAAAATTCCTGCGGTTAGTCTTAAAATATAGGGCCACAGAGTCAAAGACTGATCCATTCGGTGAACAAAAGGCACCGGCAAATTAAATAAGCTAAATTTAAATTAAATTTGTGTACAATGCCGCAAAAGGGTTGGTTCCTTATGTTCGGTTTTTACCTTAAGTTTCACAGATGCATTAATTACAATCCGGAACAGACACAATGATGTTGTTCCCACGATGGCGCAGGGAGTCATAGAGTACAAAGAATCGTTTGGAGAAGACCACATGACCAGTCAGAACGTGCAGTACTTCCTTGATCGCTTCTACATGAGCCGCATTTCCATTCGAATGCTCATCAACCAGCACAGTAAGTGTGGCGAGTCAGACAGATTGCCCTCCACGCTTCCATTTCAAGAAGAGACACTGAAACAGCTTTGAGCCTCTTCCTTTGGCAGAACATCCATAAAATTCATCGAAATTTCCTTCTCCTGATTTTCACTACTTTTATACTATTTTCTTTTAGTAAAAAGAATTTTGCTAATCCTGATAATTTCACTATATTTGCCAAATTGAGTAGCTTCTTCCTGCTTAGGATTGCATTATAGAAAATTAATTCCTTATTTTGCTGAATAGTTTTAAAAAAGTTGATATTTCAGTCACATGTCAACTTCTAACTATTTTGAATTCCTTTTGTTTCCTGAGCGCTCATTTTTGATGGCCGAACAAATCCAGCTCATCCTAAACACATCGGTGGTATTGATCCGAACTGTAAGGTAGTAGATGTTATTAGAGGTAAGATATTTTCACTTTTGTTTTATTTTTATATTTCATTATAACTGACCAGAATCCTTGGAAGCACAGAAAGAATTTAATAGTAATTCTTGCACTTGATATAGCGCCTTTCACATCAAGAGGACATCTAGATGTGCTCCACAGGATTTACTGGAAAGTAAAATTACTGTTTTTGTCGGTGAATTTCTTGTGTAGTTCTTGAGAATTGCTTAAAGTATCTTTCTAAGGATGACCTCCCAACTGTTTGTCTTTCACAGATGCATATGAAAGTGCCAAACTGCTCTGTGACCAGTATTATATGGACTCTCCTGCACTAGAAACTGATGAACACAACGGTAATTCAGCTAAACCTTATTTGCAATCTGTACACAGACTTGATCATTGTCTAGACAGTCTGGCTAGATATTACACTGGTATGGAAATCAGGTGAGACAAGATTAGGCGTTGCTGTGATGCACTCCACGCTTGCATAGCCTTGCAGACGCCAATGCCTCAGCTCAGAGGTGACGAATTAAAGTCAAGAGGATCACAGGACTGCTTATTTGAACTGAATTCAAAGTTTCCCCTTCCCTTAGTGAGATTTTATATCATTAGTTCTGGAGCTGCTTTGCATTTAAATATTTTTAAATGGATTAACAGTATTTTGCAAGTTCTAGGAAAGGATACTGATTTAATAAAGGAATGTCAAACTTCTGTTTTGTAGTTAATTTTCGCCCACAAATATACAGTCAATTCACTTTACAGCATATTCTGTGAAGCGCTTTGAGACGTCTAGAAGATGTGAAAAGCGCTATATCAAATGCAAGGATTATTATTATTAATTTGCCTTTAATTTGCAAATGTACTTTCCACATGTTTGTAGCCTAACTGTTAGTAACCCTTAGTCTCAAGTGCAAAAGATTTAAATTCCTATTGGGGCATTTAACTTTTGAGATAACGAGCTTATTGTGTACATCATAAAGATTTAAGGAAGGAAATCTTTTATATCTGTTTTACTTTCAGCTGTCAACGGCTCCAACCAGCCGGTGTATATTGTTTATGTGCCATCGCATCTCTACCACATGCTGTTCGAACTTTTCAAAGTAAGGAACTAGTTATGAAAATGCTTTGTTGATTCCCTGAAATGTAAATTTATTTCTCGATCGATCGAAAGAGTTTGCACATTGTTTGGTGCCACCGGTGTAGATCCAGCAGAGTATATGTGTTTCTACAAATTATGTACGCATCAAATTCTGTCCTCTTCCAGTCCTCTATATTGCCATATTGTACATCCATGACGTGCATTTGATATTTGTGTGATTGATAATTCTTCTGGATTGCTCACTGCCTTACAAATCACATTGATGTAATTGCATTATTAGATTTAGGTACGTATCATACTGCAGAAAAATGTGTAACATTAAATATCAGGAATGTAGTGATTAAACACAGATATGCAGTCGGTTACATTATTTGTGGAATTTTTTTTCACCCTCCCTATTCGGTAATGGATGTTTTCTAGTAATGGATGTTTTTTGGGTTTAGTAAGGGGTAATGAAGTTCATAACTCGAGTGATATTTCTCTTTATTCAAGAATGCTATGAGAGCTACTGTGGAAAGTCATGAATCCAGTCCTCGTCTTCCTTCCATCAAAGTAAGAGTTGCTCTGGGTGGAGAAGACGTCACAATTAAGGTGAAGACCGTTCATCTTGTAACTTTCTGTCATTACATGTGGACATTTGCAAAACAGAATATCCAGACTAGAAACTCAACATCCATGCTGATTTACAGTTACTCCTGTGCTGTTCATCTTCAGATATCACTAAAATACTGTACGAGATTACTCAGAAACAAACACCACAAGTATGAATTTTCCTCATTTTAAGTTGAAGATGAAACCTGGCATTGCATTCGTCATAGTGCCATCATAATAGTGCAACAAAATAGTTCTTTGATCTATTTCATTACACCATTTCAATTGAAAGAATGAGAAAAGAAAACATCTTGTTTCATTTGATGTCCTAACATTGAATCTTTCCATTTTATAGATGAGCGACAAAGGTGGTGGTGTCCCCCTCAGTAAGATAGATCGATTGTTCAGCTATATGTACACTACAGCTCCCACGCCAAACCTGGGCAGCTCAGGGGGAGCACCTTTGGTAAAGATTATTTACATAAGAGTTATTTTGAGTGCTCGTTTCCTATTGTGTGTTACAACAAGATTCCAGTACATTTCAATGTCTAAAAGTCTGGGTTTCATAATTACCTTTGTTTTGTTGCAGGCTGGTTTTGGCTATGGGCTGCCTATTTCACGACTGTACGCTAAGTACTTCCAGGGAGACCTGCAGCTCTATTCGATGGAAGGCTATGGGACTGATGCTGTCATTTACCTAAAGGTAATTCTTCTTTAATAATGGTCGTTACATTTGATATAGCGCCTTATCATGTCTTTGAGATGTCTCTGAGCGTTTCACAGAATATACTGTAAAGTGAATTGATCGTATATCCTGTGGGCGAAACGAGGCAGCCAATTGCGCACAGAGGTGTCCCACAAACAGCCGTGGATTAAGTGACCATATTATTTTGTAAGATATATAGTTACATTACTGTATTTTGTGGGAGATGCAGACTCAAGCGATGGACACTGGAGATTGTTTTTCATGGTTTCACGTAATTAGACTTAAAGCCTTGAATATTAATTACTGCATGAAATCAAAAGAACTACAGAAACCACATTTATCTTGAAATGGAACAAGAAATGAGAGCTTGCCTTGATGTAAACTTCAATAGCTGTCTTTAAAGTCTGAGCAATGGAATGTTATGACTGTAATTTACTTAGTCAAAATACTTGATGTTGGTATAGTAAAATACACCATTTTGCAGTACATTCCTTTAAGTAAAAAGAAATACAGAGATTTAATTATGCTTTCACTTTAATCATTAAAAGAATATGAGAATTGTTCACTGTTCTGGCTATGTATTCACAAAGCGTTGTGCTACATACCAGGGGATTTAAGACTTATTTCCAATGGAATATATTGTTCCTATTGATATTCCCATTCAAAAATTAAATAGTTGCAAAGAATTATTCAATTCAACCTTTAATTACCCATTTAAGTCTTCATTGCGATGGGTTTCTGTTTTGCCTTTTCATAATTTGTTGTGTACTTTCCAGGCTTTATCTAAAGATTCTGTGGAGAGGCTGCCGGTCTATAACAAATCTGCGTGGCGGCACTACCAACACATCCAGGAAGCTGATGACTGGTGCGTCCCCAGCAGCGATCCAAAGAACATGGCTGTGGACAAAGTCCAGCAGTGAATCAAAGACCATTGAGCTCAAGGCAATGGAAGCGAGCAAAGTAACTGAGATGCCCAGTTTGCACTTTAAGGTGCAGCTGAAAGTGGTTTAATTTGACTGTCGGCCACAACGTTCGATCTTAGAAGACATCGTGGTTCTTTACAAAGTAAAATAGTGGGAATTTCAGTAGTGAAGAATCATCTAAAATCATTAGCCTGGAGGTGGTTCATAACAACAAACTTTTTGCCCCCCTTTTTGCCCTAAAATTGTTACCAAAATGATGGTGGAGGGGGGAAAAGTAAATTAAAGTGGCACTGTAAATCTAGAAGCTGTTTTAAGCTTCAGAAGCTGTCAGAATTTGGAGCCAGCTAAGAATCTAGGAGGTAAGGATTGCAGGTTATAAGCATAAAATGTGGCTTAAAGGCAAAGTGACTGCTGAAAGACTGTACCATTTAATGAAACACAGCCAAAGGAATTAGAGTGATTGTTCCAGTGATTGCAAAGAAGAAGGAAAATGAAACGAAATTAGACAAATTACCAGTTTGGTATTTGAACCAGAATCTTAAGAAATTCTGCAATAAGATATGAGATTTAAAGTGCTACTCGCAAACCATTTTAAATGTATTTCTCTGTAAAACTTTTGATTCTGTGATTTTAAAATGTGGCTCGCCCTTCACATATGGTTAAGTTGCCCTGAAACTGTGAATTAAACCTCAATAATTGAGAACCTATTTTTAGCCATGTTAACAAGTCGATTCCACAAGTGACTGACATTTTTTAAAAATCTGTACACTATATATATGTATGTATGTGGGTATTCATTGTATGGATGTGTCTAAGCATTTATGAACTAAATGTAAAACTATCAAAGTTCTTTGAAGTAACAGAATGTGAAGTAATTTGCCTTTCAGATTATTGAGCTTCGAGTAAGCTTCAGCGTTAGCTGGTGTTAGCGTCTTGGCCTTTTGTTGCAATCGTATTAGTTGTTTTTTTTGAAAGGTTGATTTACAAACAACTTTATGAAGTGAAGATAAAATAATGGAGGGGCATTATTCTTTGTGTTAGATTGCTATAAGAATACAAACCAAATCTCTCGTTCTCTGATTCCTCATTGTATTTTCTGGTACACTGTGCTTGATACATATTTGTATCCAACATACAAACTTTCTTGCCATCAATTTGTAATCTTATCTCTTTTTCCCTTCTTTGTCAAAGTCTGTTTTAGTATTGTCGAGATGTGTTTTTTTGTAAATTTGCACTGCCAATTGGTAATCATTTCAAAAATAAAATTTAAAATATTTTTATTTTATTGCTGGCTTTTTAATGTTTCTTAGTTTGGATGTTGAAAAATTAAACCATATGTAATCACATAAATTTCACATTGGGGACATTGAGTCAATTATCCTTTTCACTATATTTTGCTCACAAAATATATAGTTAATTCATATTATATATTCTGTAAAGTGCTTTGAGACGTCTCAAAGATGTAACGAGGTGCTATATCAAATGCAAGGATTATTGAGCAAAGGAAAGCAATGCCAATCATTGAGTGCTATTTATGTCCATGCACATAAAGCCCCCTTGGCTCCCTGTACCAGCTCGGATGCCCAGCCAGCAGTGTTGAATGCTTTAGAATGTCCTCCACACATAGGAAGATGAAAGCCAAACATAAGTGTAGCCATTCATTGCATCGGTTTCTACAATTTTTTTTCCCCACCCTTAGAACTTAAATGGCCTGGAACCAGTTTGTGAGATCTTTATCTCGCATTTGTGTGGAGTATAAGATTATTCTACGTACAAGAAATTACCCAACCAGAAATACTTTCCTTTTAGCCCACAAGTGGTTGTACACTTCCTACCATTGAAACGCACCTGTGTAATCCCAACTCTTTCAATGGACGAAAGCATCATTGGCACAAAAGGTCTCTGCTTTGTGATGAGGCCATCTCGAACATGCACTGACTCTGTATAGAGCGAGGATGAAGCTTGGGTATTATCCAAACCTGTAATGTTCCATTGTGTAGTCCTATAGCTCAGTGGATAGAGCACTTCGCTAGCAAACAAAAGACCTGGGTTTGATTCCTGGTCAGGGCGAGTTTCCTTACGCCACATGCCTATGTTTACTTAGCAGTAAGTACAAACCCAGTTGTTAGTTGATTGGCAGATTGCTTTTGTGGGGGTAACAATTCCTTAAAAAAAATTGGTCACTCAGTCCATGACTGTTTATGGGACACTGCTGTGTGCAATTGGCTGCCAGGTTTTGCCCACACGATATACAGTCAATTCAATTTACAGTATATTCCATGAAGCACTCGGAGAGTCTCAAAGGCGTGATAAGGCGTTATATCAAATGCAAGTATTATTATTATTATTTTAAGCAAATTGATGTCAAACCAATATTTTGTTTGGTTTTCAAAGAATTGCATTGGCCGAGATGTAAAATCAACATTGTAGGTACTACTGGACGATTGGGTATCTAGTTAGGATGTGCCCCTGGAATTCAACCAATAAGGTTCTGTTGTTTGGCTGATTGAAACGATTTGTCTTACTGCTCAGGGAAACTATTTACTGATACTTCAGCTTGTTAATCATTATTCAGGATGAACATTCCCCCAAGTCCCACAAATGACCCGAGTACTGAGTTTCCACACCCACCTACCACCCTTTTGTTAAACCAATAAATGCAAAGCATGAAAGGTGGGTGTAACGTTTGGCATCACAGAAATTACAGCACAGAAGGAAGCCACTTAGGCTATGCTCTGATCCTAAATTCTTCCCCCATAAGCGTTTACATTGTTCCTTTTCCAAATTATCCAATTCCCCATTAAACCTTAAGGTCTCATATTTGTCAACAACAACAACAACTTGCATTTATATAGCGCCTTTCATGCCGGGCGGTGTCCTGAAGCGCTTAATATTGGCAGAGCCTAAGCCAGGGGAAGAGCAAGATGTGGGGGTAGGTGATGACTATGAGCACAACCAAAAAGGAAGGTCTTTAGGCGGGGTTTGAAAGTGGGGAGGGAGGGTGCAAGGTAGAGGGATTGGGAGAGAGAGTTTGAGAGCTTCGGGGCATAGTGACTGAAAGGGACGAACAGGAGGCCGGATAAATTCACTGATCCCTGGTCAGGGAACGGATGTGTGGGAGAAAGGAAAGCTGGGGATCGAATCTGACTCTGAGATCATGCGTGGGTTCAGTGAGTCTGAGGGAGAGCCCGGGGAGATTGAGGAGTTCAGAACAGCAGGAAAGAAGATGTTGACAGGAACCAAAGAGCATAGCTTCTGTCTTGATTACATTCCGTTGCAGGAAATTTGTGCTCATCCAGACAAGCTGACAGGACACCAGCAGATTGGGATTCACAGCTGGAGGAGGATGGAGAAGTAGATTTGGGTGTCATCCACGTAGATATGGAAGTTGACCCTGTGTCTGCGGATGACATCGCCGTTTGGTGCAGTCATCCTTGATCTATCAACCACTTGTGTCAATGAATCTTCTTAACTCTTCCAGTGACCATGCTGAGTTCATTTACCACCCAGAAATAATAAAACGTTGAATTTGATGTAATCCTCCACTCATCCCCCTTCTACTTTTCCCACAAAATATACACTCACGGCACTGCACTACAGTATATCCTGTGAAGAGCTTTGAGATATCCTGCCAACGTGAAAGGCACTGTAATAAGAAATGCAAGGATTATTTCCATTTTGATATAGAACCTTTTGTCGAAACGTCTCAAAATACTTCACAGAGTTTTATGGTGAAGTGTAAGGACTATATATATATAATCCTTGCATTTGATATAGCGCCTTATCACATCTTCAAGACGTCTCAAAGTGCTTCACAGAATATATTGTTAAGTGAATTGACTATATATTTGTGGGTGAAACGCGGCAGTCAATTGCACACAGCAGTGCCCCACAAACAGTTGTGGATTGCGTGACCAAATTATTATTATTTGTATTTATTTATTTGTAGGTGAATGTAATGCCTTTAAGCAACATAAGCTATCAGAGATGTTAAAGTGCATTTCATCTTGCTGCCTGCTCTAATGTTAATCATTCACCCCTTAATATCCCGCTGGTGTCAAAATCAGTATAATGGTGTGCACAACAACTATTCTCCGTGATTTCACAACCGTCTTGTTTTGCCTGTGCCTCCGAAGAGCAGCGTCAGCAGTTCGTGGAAGAAAACAAGTGAAAAGCCAAGAACAAACTCTCATTGAAAAAAAAAACTCCTTCACTGCCAAATTTCCAACCTGTTGATTACTGACCATTTGAGATGGAACAGTGCTTCCAAATGAGATCTCAACTGCAAATGAAAAGCTTCTTCAGCAATGCAAAACAGGAATATAGTATAAGAATACTGATTTTTTTTTAACATGGAGTTTAATTTGCCAGCAACCCCTTTAGATACAATCTCGGTATACAGCTAATTTTTCAAAGAGGGGTTGAGCAATAGTATTAATTCCTCCTCCTGTACCTGCATCTGACTGAAAAATACAAGACCATTAAATATTTACATTACTACTACAGTAATTCAAACAAGTATTAGGCTTCAATAACTCTTTCTTACTCTTTTCCTAGATATTGACGAACATCCTCCTACAATGAGACAGAAATGCTGAAATTGTCTCTGGTTTCCTTCCCCCACCCTCCACCCAGCGCATTTCAAACCCCTTCTCTCCCCCACCCACCAACCCACCCCCAACCTTCACCCGCCCACCATCACCTCACTGTTTTTTNCCATCAGGCGAATGCCTAACACATGTGGAATCCCACCACTGTGCGTGAGAGTCTTCAAATTAGACTGAGAGTTCCACTCATGCCACACAGCACTTGAAAATTTCCCTGTGTCTGGAATAGAATGTGCCCTCGCTTCCTGGAGGGACGCACTCTGTTTTTACAGCTAATTCAGGAGAGTATTAGGCACAGGCCGACAAGAGCCGAGGCTTTCAGAGCTCAGAGTGAGTGTTGGGGAGTAACTACTGGAATTTAGCAAGTTAAGAGGTTAAGGGCACTGGTCTGGCAAGCTTCCCATTGCTTGATAGGAGCATTGTGCCCGTTAGGACTATCGGTTTACAGGATTAAAAGAAGCAGGAAAGAATCTCTGCTGACAGTGACAGACGCTTCCAAAACTTCAATGTTTATCAATAGCTTCACACAAATAGCCCGAGTTAAGTCAGTTGATGTTCTTGCACCCTTATTATGCATCGACCGTTCTCTCCACATGACCGCCTGAGATTGATAGCTCACTGACTCGTGCTACCGATGATCAGAAAAGCTCGACAACAAAGGAAAAGAAGAAGCTGACAGGGAGAAGAACTGACGTGAAAGTAGAAACAATATCTGATTCCAGCAGCATGTACTGCTGCAAATATCTCGGCTTGGCTTTCGTGCTCCGCCAATGTCAAGCTCTCCGGGACACTATCCTGCGTGAGGGGCGCTAAATAAATGCTAGTTGTTGTCGCTGTTGTTGTTGTTGTGGGTAATGCTGAAGGCTTAATGTCAAAGCTGATGGATTTCCAGTGCTGAATGATCTCGATCTTCCTGATTATTTCCAATATTTCTGTTTGGTCTTCGACAGTGCCTTCAGTCACGCCCTTACCCCTACCCTCCCTGCCCTCCACCCCTCTTGATCTCAACCACCTGCTCAGGGTGCATATCCCTGACTGCTCAGTGCCTTGGGACATTCTCCTGACGTGAAAGACGCTGTAGAAATGTAATTTGTTGTTGTTGTTGGTCTGAACATGCGAAAATTTAAGGGCATACATACTGTACAATTGATATTTATACCGTGCATTGCATTGCAGGGAGTGAAGTAGGGCAAGTGGAGCAGGTTTCAGTGGGAGAGCATCTGGGCAATAGTGATCATAATAGTGATCATAACATCATTAGATTTAGAGTGCATATGGAAAGAGACAAGGAACCATCGAAGGTGAAGATATTCAACAGGAAGAGGAAAAATTTCAGTGAGTTAAAAAGGGACCTAGCCAAGGTGGACTGGAAAGAAAGATTGGCAGGTAAAACA